GAGGCTTGCACACAGTGGGAGTCCTGGACTCCCACATTTGACACTCAGGTGGTGTGAGGCCTGTACACAGTGGGAGTCCTGGACTCCCACATTTGATACTCAGGTGATTTGAGAGGCCTACACACGGTGGGAGTCCTGGACTCCCAAATTTGACACTCAGGTGGTGTGAGGCCTGTACACAGTGGGAGTCCTGGACTCCCACATTTGATACTCAGGTGATTTGAGAGGCCTGTACACGGTGGGAGTCCTGGACTCCCACATTTGACACTCAGGTGGTGTGAGGCCTGTACACGGTGGGAGTCCTGGACTCCCACATTTGATACTCAGATGGTGTGAGGCCTGTACACAGTGGGAGTCCTGGACTCCCACATTTGATACTCAGGTGGTGTGAGGCCTGTACACGGTGGGAGTCCTGGACTCCCACATTTGATACTCAGGTGGTGTGAGGCCTGTACACGGTGGGAGTCCTAGACTCCCACATTTGATACTCAAGTGGTTTGAGGCCTGTACACGGTGGGAGTCCTGGACTCCCACATTTGATACTCAAGTGGTTTGAGGCCTGCACATGGTGGGAGTCCTGGACTTCCACATCTGATACTCAGGTGGTGTGAGGCCTGTACACGGTGGGAGTCCTGGACTTCCACATCTGATACTCAGGTAGTGTGAGGCCTGTACACGGTGGGAGTCCTGGACTCCCACATTTGATACTCAAGTGGTTTGAGGCCTGCACATGGTGGGAGTCCTGGACTTCCACATCTGATACTCAGGTGGTTTGAGGCCTGCACATGGTGGCAGTCCTGGACTCCCACATCTGAGACTCCAGTGGTGTAAGGCCTGCACATGGTGGGAGTCCAGGACTCCCACATCCATATCATGTAAACAAATGAAGTATAGAACATAGTGACAGTCCCTGCAATATAACATAACATAACATAACATAACATAACATATTGTAAATCTGAGACTGTACAATGAAGTATTAAGCATGTAGTAGTGAGAGGCCTCAAACACTTTTGGTAAATGTCACATGATAAAGACATCTTCTGTAAAATGCCTTCATTTTAGAATTGTTGGAAAAGTAATAGTAGACTTGCAGATAAACAATCTATGCTATCCAAGATGTCAAATGTAAACAAAGGTTTCAAAATGAGCTATAAGTGTTTGTCCATGTGGCTACAACTAATCTTTGGAAATCTCAATGCCCAAGTGCGCTCGACAGGTGTGAGCAGCCCTTGCAAATCTTGGGAACTGGGCAAAGAAAATAAAAATCTAGGTAACTCCAAGTTTGAGAAGGAGAACTTTCATATGAGTAGTATGTAGGTCACACCCCAGTCACATCATGTGATGTTGACTGAAAGTGCTTGAGGCCTACCTTACATGATACTACTGACTGTATCTATGAGTATATAATGGATATGCATGTTGTTGAAGCCTGCACACAGTGGGAGTCCTGGACTCCCACATCTTGAACTCAGTGATTTGAGGCCTGCACACAGTGGGAGTCCTGGACTCCCACATCATATACTCAGGTTGTTTGAGGCCTGCACATGGTGGGAGTCCTGGACTCCCACATCTGATACACATGTTGTTGCAGCCTATACACAGTGGGAGTCCTGGACTCCCACATCATATACTCAGGTTGTTTGAGGCCTGCACACGGTGGGAGTCCTGGACTCCCACATTTGATACTCAGGTTGTTTGAGGCCTGCACACAGTGGGAGTCCTGGACTCCCACATTTGATACTCAGGTGATTTGAGGCCTGCACATGGTGGGAGTCCTGGACTCCCACATCTGAGTCTCAAGTGGTATGAGGCCTGCACACGGTGGGAGTCCTGGACTCCCATATCTTGTACATACCGGAGTAATAATCAAAAACTAGGAAAAATTGATCCTAGGTGGATCCTAGGGGGGCTCATAACCCCCCTCATTTTGCACATTTTGAGAAATGCCAAAAATGTGTGAAAATTGACCCCCTCATTTTGCACATTTTGAGGAATGGCGAAAATGTGCGAAACAAGGAAGGTGCATTGTGCACATTCTGAGGAATGCCAGAAATGTGCAAAATGGACCCCCTCATTTTGCACATTTTGAGGAATGGTGAAAATGTGCAAAACAAGCAGGGTACATTTGCACATTTTGATGAATGCCAGAAATGTGCAAAATGGACCCCCCTTGTTTTGCACATTTTGAGAAATGCTAAAAATGTGCGAAACCAAGGGGGTCCATTATGTACATTTTGAGGAATGGCGAAAATGTGCAAAACAAGGGGGATACATTTGCACATTTTGAGGAATGCCAGAAATGTGCAAAATGTACCCCCTTTGTTTTGCACATTTTGAGAAATGTCAAAAATGTGCAAAACCAAGGGGGTCCATTTTGCACATTTTGAGAAATGTCAAAAATGTGCAAAACAAGGGGGGCCCATTTTGCACATTTTGAGAAATGTCAAAAATGTGCAAAACAAGGGGGGTCCATTTTGCACATTTTGAGAAATGTCAAAAATGTGCAAAACCAAGAGGGCCCATTTTGCACATTTTGAGGAATGCCAGAAATGTGCAAAATGGACCTACCTGGTTTCGCACATTTTTGACATTTCTCAAAATGTGCAAAATGGAGCTCCTTGGTTTTGCACATTTTTGACATTTCTCAAAATGTGCAAAATGGAGCTCCTTGGTTTTGCACATTTTTGACATTTCTCAAAATGTGCAAAATGGACCCCCCTGGTTTCGCACATTTTTGACATTTCTCAAAATGTGCAAAATGGAGCTCCTTGGTTTTGCACATTTTTGACATTTCTCAAAATGTGCAAAATGGACCCCCTTGGTTTTGCACATTTTTGACATTTCTCAAAATGTGCAAAATGGACCCCCTTGGTTTTGCACATTTTTGACATTTCTCAAAATGTGCAAAATGGACCCCCTTGGTTTTGCACATTTTTGACATTTCTCAAAATGTGCAAAATGGAGCTCCTTGGTTTTGCACATTTTTGACATTTCTCAAAATGTGCAAAATGGACCCCCCTTGTTTTGCACATTTTGAGAAATGCTAAAAATGTTCGAAATTGCTCACATTGAGCTAGCCATAACCATGGTCTAACCATATCCCATATAACAAAATATGCTTAGAATGAAACACTTCCGTGAGCTGCGACGACTTGGCCCATCGACAGGATCGACCATCGGAGACTGTTTCAGAGTGCTCATACAATCCCACGTTCTTTATTTTGCAAGGTGAGCTTGTAGTGTGAACGCGGGTTATATTTTTGAGCTCAAGTTCCGCACATGTTAGCTTTGTTGGTGTCTCTTGCCTGCAGTTTACTGTTCTCTCTCCAGAAATCTCGGTGCGCTGACTTGTTGTTGATATCTGCATGTAACCACTGCTTATTATTTTTGTAGAGCTCAAATTCTACTGGAGCTCAGATACTCATTGGTACTCTTCAAATTTTATCGGTCGTGCAGATGTTTGTGCTGGGACCACGCCTCATCCTGAGCGTTCGAGAATACCATGCCAAACTCGTGGCACACTTCACCGCAGAAACTAGCATGAATTCGATTGTTTTCCAGGAGCATGTACATGTATCAACTAGCAGTACTGTGTAGGGAAATACTTGCCCAGTGGTCTGCAGGGAGGACGAATTTGGTGGGGGATCCGTCGTGGTATTTATTTAACATATGGTGTTTCGAAGTATATCTGAAAGGTCTAGGGAAAGCTATTTCTTGTTGTATCACTACTGTAACGAAGCACCCGCGCTTGCACCAAGCGGTAAGCTGAAATCATCCGAAACGACTAGCAACCAACCTGGTCCTTGATGGCCGATGTCAAAATACAAAGAGAATCAGTGAAAGTGCCTTGACACCTGATTCTGATTCTGCGCATTGATGGTCCACTGTCTGAACATATAGATACTGCGAATCATGAAGCCAGATGGCTGATAACTCATTGGTGCTCGGATGCAATTGCCTCCATTCGATGGCCCACAGAGAATAAAAGGAATGAATTGCATAGATTCACGGTTCAATTGTACGTCTTTCTTGCGAATGAGCATGACAAGAATATGGGGTCCGCTGGGTGGAGTGGATAATCATAAAATGGCAGAAGCGTTCAAGCGTACATATCAAACTACTGATGAGGCATCGACCACGATATCCTGTTGGAGCCCTCGCTAAGCACGACCATCAGAGCAAAGCACCAGACAGAATACAGACATGCATACATACCCCCATCGATCAGAGTCCTAGGGCAAGCATATGATCACTTGAATGAAATATCTGATAGAATGCAGGAAACGGGGAAATTAGAAGATATTTTGCAGGAACGTTGAAGGGTAGCGTGATGTCTCGCATGTGAGCTGTTGGAACGACCAATAAGGAAAACAAAGACAACTCACCGGCAGGTAGGGCCTGGACAACAATATGCAGATGCATACGCTGCGGAGCATTGGGAAAAATCTCGACCATTTCAGCCACAGGTGATAAGGATTTCGTTGTGGCAAGTTAAAGATTGTGAAGATCGTGCTCGATCGTCTCGTTGACAGGCAGGTCGACCTTCCAAATTGTCAACATCCAATCGTAGGCATCAGATCACTCACCTTCCATAGCTCGAGATGGTCAGCATCAACATGGTCAGATTGTTGCTTCTTCTTCAAGGTCTTAGATGGCCTCAAAGAGGTCATCAACAGTCTGGACTTTGCATCTGTGCAACATTGACTGAGAAAATATCATTACGGAGAGGATCATCGCCTAAGACAATTCAGTTGAGTTTGTACCACAAACTCAACTGCGTTGTCTTCTGACGTTGAGAATAGGAATGGTGATGGTGTCTCGAACGGTGACCGTAGTGAGCACTGAGTGCTGCAGCGACAATGCGCTCTTGAATTTTGAAGTTTTATCTATGCTCACAGTCAAGCAGCCAACACCACGTGACCGCGGCGACCAGTCTTCAAAGTTGAGGCATCACGAAAACAAGTTCTACCATCGTTGCTCGGAACATCCTTAGTAGATAAAAGAATCCAACGTCCATTGAAATGCAGGTTATACAAGATATAATGACTATGTACACGATCATCAATCTACACCAAAAGCACCTCTAGTCTCATCAGGGTACTGTTTTACTTTACAGCCACCGCGACCTGAGTCTCACAAACTGGTCCTCACGCTTCCATCAAAGCCTGAGCGGCCTTTCTTGCATTCGCTTTCAGGCCCTCGACCTGTAACTCCATGTTGCGAATCTTTTCTCGTGCTGCGCGGAGCTCACTATTGAGCCGATCGACTTCGGCTTCTAACACGGTGGTCTTGCCCTACACATAGCTTAAGCGTCAAACTTCAAGATCGATACCAAGAGAACGTACTTCATCATCAACTTGCGTTGGCGGAGTGAGGATAACCGGAGACTCTGAGATAGGCGAAGCGAGTTGAGGCACTGGTGCCGACTCGGATCTCACTGGTGTCTGTGGTACATGTGTAGGCATGGTAACAGCTTTAGTGACAGGCGGAGGTGCACTGAACGCAGTGGGTGCGGGCACATGTGTCGGTGCAGGAGCAGGCGCCGAGGGCGTGAATGTCGATTGTGCACCATTGAACACGGCACCATTCTCGAGACTAACGAGCTTTAATGGAGCGGTCTTTCCAGCAAAGAACTCGCTTGCTGAGAGAGAAGACTCTGACGAGGCTGCAGCTGGTAAATGTCGGATTGGAATGAGTCCGCCTGGTAATACTGTCAGTGAAGCTATCGTAAGTCTTTCAAAAAATATTTACTTTGCGAGGCACGATGAAAGCGATGGGTTCCACGGATGAGCCTGACACCTTGTACGCACGGGCAATCTCGCAATCCGACACGTTAAGGGCACGACGAGGGAGGAAACATATTCCCCGCTGGGGATCCGGAGATTTGTGTTCTGCTAGTGCGAATAGCGAGTCACTTTCGTATTCGTAGTACCGGATATTTCCATCGCTGTTGGATTTAGATTAACCACGAATAACAAACACATTCAATTCCACTTTACCCTTTGCCAGCTAGAAGTGATAATGTGAGAAAAGACGAGTCCTAAGCACATGCGAGGCGCTCACCCAAGAAAAGAATGCCATTATCACTCCAGAAAGGCATGACGACACCAGCAGACTGATCGATAGTTATCGTCTTGACACTTCCAAGACCTCCAGCTTCCCAGATGGAGACTTGACGATCACTCATCTTGCTAAAACCAGTAGTCGCAATCTTGTCAAGATCACCCATCCACACGACACGAGCGCCCTTGATACCGCCATGTGCCTCAGTGATGCGAACAGCTTCGCTTCCAACACGAGGATCAAATAGACGAAGTTTTTTGTCTCTACAGGTCGTCGCCATGAGCGTGCCGGTAGGATTGAAGGCGAGACACTGGATGGTATCGCTGTGTCCGGTGAGAACAGAACGTGGGCGATCAGTATCAGCAAGATCCCAAAGTTTAACTGTGTGTTCGCTGGAAGCACTGGCGAGGACGTTAGACGCGGTTGGATGGAAGAGAACTTGGCCGATCTTGCGTGGTGATGCATCGATCCGGGCGACAGGGTCAAAGTCTTCCGGTACCCAATGATCCTGGCCCCAGTCTTCAAAAGCGGAAGACTCGACCTTCCAAATCATGACTTTTCCATCTTCGCCGCCAGAGGCAACGATAGAGTCGTTATGTGGGGACCAATCAGTGTCGAGGACGGGGGCGGTGTGACTGCGCGCGAGGGGAATAACATCAGGAAGCTTGTGCGGGAAATTTGGGACAGCTGCAAAAGGGGAGGGGAGGGGAAGTATTGCAAATGCGCCACCTCCGGATGCATTCCAGTTAACGCTGATGTATCGCTGGGGTGGTATGTCAGCGAAGGACGGACGTGAAGAAGGAAAGTGGTCACCCCAGAGGCAGAGACAAGATTCGTATCCCATGCGCTGCCGGAGACCTTCACATTGTCATATCCATGTTCTTTCTTGGCTGCCTGTCCGAAGACATGGCTGTGGGAGACGCGATCGTTGATCAGTCTCTTGGTGTGCTGCAATCTTGGGCATGTACTCACCGATACTTAGATGCACGAACAAATCTAGACATCGTCCGCGGTTATCTGCAAACAACGAATATTCGACAGACGATGAGAACCCGTGTCCTATGCTGTTGAACGTGGAATCCAGCAACTTATGCCCCGCGGCTCTCGCCAATTAACAGTGTGTTTCGCAGATGGGCTGGCAGTTACTAGGATTCAGAATCACCGAAGAGGGGTTTACGGCGTGCGAAAGTTAGGCGGGAAGGGGGGTTATAGACGGACTGGTCACGAGGGTACGTATCAGACATAATCAGAACACGGCATAGTGGGATTTCACGGGGTTTGAACATTTCTCGACTAAGCTTCTATATATGGTAGAATCAAGTGTGTCCATACAAGTACGATATACTACGTGATGGTACGACGTTATCAACTACGGCGCAAACTCAGAACACGGTATAGTGGGGTTTCACTTTGTTTTTCTCGCTAAGCTTCTATATATAGTATAATCAAGTGTCCTCCATATAAGTACGCCTCTTGAGCTCATACTACGTGAGGGTACGTATCTGATGCATCTACTAGCTATATATGTAACTAATGGTTTCACTCTGACTCATTCAATTGTTGAATCGTCAGTTTGCAGCAAGCCGTCGATAGTATAATAAGGCGAACTAACTCACATCATGCCTCGACCATAATCCCTTCCCATGCTCTTCACTCTAGGAATATCGTGCATTATTGCCCTGCTTGTCGCTTTGCGTCTGACTCGCAGACATGTCTCCCCTTTCCCTCTGCTACCTGGTCCTCGTCCCTTACCATTTTTGGGCAACGCGCTGCAATTGGATACTAAACGTCCTTGGCTCACATATACTGCGTGGGAAAAGACATATGGTTAGTAGTAGACCAGGCTCTTTGCCAACCTCCTGGATTTGATTTCATGCCTGATCGTAGGAAAAATCTTCCGCTCCCGTGTATTTGGGATCGACATGATCATTATAAACTCCGAAATTATCGCCCAGGAGTTGCTGGAAAAGCGTTCTGCGAATTACTCTGACCGTCCCGCTCTTCGCACCAACGAATTGTATGCATTACCAGTTTCCGTTCAACTTGTTCTTCATCTACTGACGATGCAGAGCTGGAATAACTTTCAATACTGTGATGCTTCCGTATGGGGAAACTTTACGACAACATCGCAAGATATTCCATCAAGTCCTTAGGGCCGATGTTTCCATCTCGTACCACGAGATATACTCTCGCCATGCAAACGAACTAGTCATCGATCTCTTAGGTGCCACTAGGGACTCACTGCAGCATCACACCGAAGCGTTCGTACCCATTTCAAGGATGCCTTTGTGAAGTATGGTCCAGTTGACGATCAATTCTTGTGCCAGATACTCCGGATCCCTGATCATGACCGTGACATACGGACATCTCGCCAATAAAGGCTCGTTATCTTCCCGTGCGCACGAAATGCTTGATATTATAACACAAATTCTCTCTCCCGAAAAGGCTGTCATGTTCACAGCCTTTCCTTTCCGTGAGTGCCTCTGTCAACGACATGATTTTGAACATTCAGCGTGAGGTTGCAGTCGAAAAGTTGCCGTCTTGGTGCTTTGGTGGAGCATTTGCCCTGATGGGACGTTGTAAAGAATTGTGTCAACAAGTTTTGAACGAGCCCTTTAACGAAGCGAAGGCACAGATAGTACGTTCGCGCAGACTTGTGGATGAAAGTTTCGCCTGATCTGTTTGCGTGAAGGCAGATGGTACTGCTTCGCGCTCATTGATTTCTGACTTTCTCAGTCAAGCTCACGACGACACTGACGAAGACATTATGAAGGCTGTTGCGTTGATGGGATATATGGGTAGTTATTTGTTTTCACCAAGATGGAGTTCATCTATTGACGAAAATACGGCATCTTACTAGGCGGCATGGAAACCGTGAGTCACTACCTACTTACTTGAAACATTTCTGATTCTTACTTTGATGTCTCGCAGACTGCATCCGTATTGCAGGCATTCCTGCTGGCTATGATGCTCCATCCTGATATCCAATCCCGTGCTCGTGCAGAAATTGACCAAGCTGTGGGGCATGACAGCATGCCGTGCCTTGATGACAGGGCGTCACTGCCATACCTTGATGCCATTCTCCGCGAGGTCCTGAGATGGCATCCTCCCACCCCCTTAGGTTAGTCGGTGGTAAAATAGCTTTGTGTTTGCATGGCTGACCCCTTGCACAGGCATCGCACATCAGACATCAAATGACGATGTATACGACGGGTACTTTATACCCAAAGGTTCGAAGTGGTACAAATCAAGGTTATCGTTGACTCATATATAGTTCGATCAGGTGCAATGGTAATGGTCAATCAGTGGTATGTCCAGCTGGAGTGCATGTAATGGGTTGAGCTGAGCGTTGCTCAGGGCACTGTCTCGGGATGAAGACATATTTCCCGATGCATCACGCTTCGATCCTAGCCGCCATCTGACCGTCGATGGGAAACTGAAGAACTCTGTCGTCAACCATTTTGCCTTTGGCCATGGCAGGTGAATATTTCAACCTTACTATCATCTTCGATCATCCACTGACCCTTGCAGGCGTATTTGTCCTGGTAGGCTGATTCATGGCTGATTTGGCAGTGTTATAACAAATGCCTTTGGTAGGTCGTTGGTTTGCAGATAACGGTCTGTGGAGTGCAGCTGCTGCCATACTCGCCGTCTTGCGCATCGATCATGCCAAAGACTCGAACGGAAACAGGATTGAGGTGAAGCCAGAGTTCACCACTGGTGTAGTCACGTAAGTGACCCAGTATGTATTCAATAACCTGCAACTGACTCTGCCGAAGTCACCCTGAACCATTTCACTTCTCGTTTGAAGTCGTGAACACAACGAGAGAAGCACACATCCGAGCGATGATGAATTCGAAGTAGACTTGGTTTGTATTCGAGGTGTATGATATGGTGTAAAGTGTACTGGATGGCACGGTTTCACGGTCTCTGCTTTTGTCTGTCTTTGATGAACAAGAATTTGCTTCCGAATGGATTGACACTTCATAAACTAGACCCGTTTCCAAAATCTCGTGAACCGGCGCAACCAAGCTGCATACCACTGATCGGTTCACAGGCCCTTCCCGTTGGTCCACCTCTATCGGTGGATGGTAATCCATGCACTCGTACTACAGCATACATATATGGAGTCATTCAAGGACGCAACTGTAGCGCAATTCATCAGAGTTCGCTCTGGAGCTTCATAACCACCCAGACTGATGGGGCAGACCCCATGGGCCCGCATCTGGACGTTGAACCTTAGGGTTGAACCTTAGAGGCGTCCATTGACAGCCCAAGCACGCTCATGCTATGCTTACGGGAGAGGAATCGATCTCACAAGGTTGCGCATGAACACGGCGATAAGACACACATTGTCCAAGTGGTGATCACCTGAGATTCGACGCCATGGGTAAGTAAATTAACCAATCGGCGACCCGCCAGGTTACGCTGCCCGTGCGTTGGGGTGCCAGGTAACACTGACCTTCCCGTATTCTCGTGATTTGGCAGCAGAAAAGCGCTATAAGACGCACGAGCAACAAGGCAACGAGAAATAAGAAGATTTGTGTTACAGTGAATCTCCGCCCCGCTGCGACTTCAAGCCTCAGCGACCGGTTGGGATACGGACGTATGGAAGGAAAAGCCCTGACACAGAACTCCATGATTCCACTGAAGCGGCAGGGCGGAGAGTTCATTTCGAACTGGATGTGGCCTCAGTCATGTATTGCGACTTTACTCACACTGAAGACCGTCGTGATTAGACTGACTTTCAGCCTGCAGCAAGGCCGAGCGATTGGGAGGAAAGGGCGATGTACCAGGGAACTGTGAGAGACAGTCGAGTCAACTCTAAAGGCAACGAGATAAAGAGACGAATATCCTATGAATCGCGAGGCTGAGTGAACCATACAGGAGGAACTGATTTTGTGCGAGAAGAAAAGTGAAATGTTTACGGAAATGGCGAAGGAAAATGACTTGATGATCCATCTTAGGCGAATGGATGGGAGCAGAAGATATGATAACAGACTGTTTTGCTGAGGTTTTGCACATGACGGCGGGCTGCGCCAGACTGTGATGGCTCATTGATTCAGTACAATGGTGACAATGATAGTGGAATACATACTTTGTGTAAGTAAATGCTGGAGGGTGGCGTCGCTCTTCAAGAGAGGGTTAGTCCAGAGAAGATGGTTTCATGCACACTTCGGGGAGGGTGGGCAGACTGTACTTCCGCGATAGCAAGCAGAGAGGGGGTGGCGTTGCATATAGATATATTGGTATCACTAATATAGAATAAGCTAGAGAAGTGAGTCGGGTGAAAATATAAGGGTTTCGTCAATCAGAATGCTCAGGCACGATACACTAGTAGTTGCGGCGGTAAGTTCGTTCATACAGTTCTTCGACCAGTCGTTACTCGTATAATACAGCCTGTGCCGGTAACTTCTGCCAGCTGCAAATTTATGTTCAGAAAATTCAAATGGGAGGAGAGCTTTAGACACATCTTCTCATGTCACCCCAAGAGCATCACATCACCCCAGCCCGGCATCCTCATAGTACCCTTGTAAAGGTACTTCGTCAGAGTGTCCTGAGCATCCTGGGAGAGTACTTCCACGACGTTGTTTATCTCTGAAGATTTCGTGCTATTCAGTATCGAAACAATGTCAGGTTCTTGCGCAAATGTCAGCGTATTGGTGCGATGTCAGCAACAAAGTCACCTTAGCTACCTCGACATTTGGCCCATAAAGAAACAAAAGAAATCAAATATTGTTGTCCGCTTGTGTCTGTCATACTAGTTGGTCGCTAGAGCCTCGAGTTCGTAGATTATCTTGGCGGACTCATTTGACTCGGAAGCTAAGCGCTAAACTTTGATAGTTGCATGCTTTCGTATTCGGTTTCCTGCCACTGTCCACTCGTTATCATGATGGTCACGATAGGGATCGGATATGTCGTCATGTTGCATTGGTGTAGGCTAGTTAATGGTGCGATAGTCTTCAGCGTCGAGTTCTGTCGAGTTCTGCAAGCGACGCAAGCATGTTATTTTCATTATCGAACTATATCAACTACGGCACAAACAGAGCGTGACGGTATAGTGGGGTTTCACTGGGTTTGAACATTTCTCGACTAAGCTTCTATGAATGGTATAATCAAGTGTCTCCATGTAAGTACGCCTCTTGAGCTTGAGCGATATATACTACGTGAGGGTACGTATCAGATGTATTTACTAGCTATATAAGTGACTAATGATTTCACTCTGACTCACTCTATTGTTGAATCGTCAGTTTACATCAAGCTGTCGATAGTATAATAAGGCGAACTAACTCACAGCATGCCTCGACCATAATCCCTTCCCATGCTCTCCACAGCTACTCTCGCTCTAGGGATATCGTGCGTTATTGCTCTAGGTGTCGCTTCGGGTCTCATTCGCAGACGTGTCTACCCTTTACCTCTGCCACCTGGCCCCCTTCCGATACCATTTTTGAGCAACGTGCTACAATTGGATACTAAACGACCTTGGCTCACATATACTGCGTGGGGAAAGACATGGTTGGTAGCAGTCCAACGGCCTCTTTGCAAAGTGCTTGTATTTCATACCTAATCACAGGAAAAATCACCCGCTGCCGCATACTTGGGATTGACTTGATCATCATAAACTCCGAAACCATTGCGCAAGAGTTGCTAGAAAAACGTTCTGTAATCACTCTGGTCGCCCCGTTTTTCGCACCAACGAATTGTATGCATTGCCGGTTTTCATTCAATTTGGTTTTCATCCACTGATGACGCAGAACTTGACTGGCTTTCCTTACTTCAATGTTTCCATATGGTGAGACTTTACGACAACATCACAAGATCTTCCATCAAGTCCTCAAGGCCGAAGTCTCGGTGTCATACCAGGAGATATACTCTCGTCATGCAAATAGACTAGTCATCAATATTTTAGGTGCCACTGATGACCTACAGCACCACACTGAAGCGTTTGTACCTAATCCACTGGTGTCGTTGTGACGTATGGTTGTCCTGGTAGGCTTATCAATGATCTGGCAGTGCTGAGAATGACAAACGCCCTTGGTAGGTCGTTGGTTTGCAGAGAGTAGTCTGTGGACTGCGATTGCTGCCATACTCGCTGTCTTGCACGTCAATCATGCCAAAGACTCAAACGGAGACAGGATTGAGGTGAAGCCAAAGTTCACCACCGGCTTGGCGATGCATCATGTAAGTGACCTAGTATGCATCCAATAACCTGCGGGCTGACTCTGTCGAAGTCAGCCTGAACCATATCACTGCTCTTTTGAAAGTGTGAGCACAGCAAGAGAAGGACAGATCCGAGCAATGATGAATTCTGAGTAGACTTAGTTTGTACGATGAACAAGAGGATTGCTTTCGAATACATTGATTTCTCAGAAACTAGATCCGTTTTCAAAATCTCGTGACTCGGCGCAACCAGGCTGCGCACCGGTGATCAGTTCACCAGCCTTGGCGCCACTTGCCAAAGGTACCGAAGGCTTTTCAGAGTAGGTTTCGATCTGAGTCGTCAAAAATCTACGATAAGTCTCATCCTCCAGTTATTTGCTTCTCGACTTTATAATTCTCACAAGTCTCGTCCCATGCAACAGCACTCTGATTTAGCTAGCATCAAATGACACAGGCATCGACAGGATGCACAAAGATAAGTAACGGCGATATCAAAAGCATCCGAGCCCATTAATGGTAACAATAAGTTTGAGGTATACTACATATTTTTTCCAAGATCACCAAACGCGATGGTCTGGTATCCCAAACTTTATGCCTGTGGAATGAACTTGAGCATGACCCACACAATAAGAGCGCTGAGGCCCAGCATAAGCAACATTGCGCCAACGACATAGGCGGCAAGCTCCCATGGAAACAAGTCCTGAGGTAAGGGTGCGTTCCTTGGATCTGCGGCAAGACGCTCGGCTACTCTTTTCTCCTCTGCTCTGAAGATGGCTGTTCTCTTGTCTGCAGAGTCGTATGTCCGCCCCCTTTCGCTGAGTATGACGAACGAGGGGAAATTTTGTTCACACCATTGTTCGATCTGAATAATGATGTTTGGTCATAGACTAACAATACGAGGGTGCACATGAAGTACCTTGCAGCACATCACTGAAATTTTGAGGAAATTTGGATCATGCGGTTTGGCCTTATGGTGAATCTTCCGTGCGTACTCCCGGAAGATTAGGGCAACTTCTCTGGTATTTGTTGACCGCATGATAAGCTGCGAAATATCATCAGCATACATAAATGAATTATAGGTGAGTGTGACTTACTTGAGCAGCCTCCGCTTTTCGTATCTTAATGTTTCGCTGGAACATTTCTGGATTCATGAAGCAAAGTGCCAATGTGGCCATTGCCATGGAAACGGGGACTGCGCAGAACACGAACACGCTCTGGTTTTTGAGCAGACGCAGGTAGTCCAAAGAGTCGCATGCGTGTCGCAGAGCATCAAGAACCATGCCGCTTTGTATCCATGTAGCACGCTCAACATCGCCCTTCTCGTACATATCTTTCATTTCGTTAAAACCGTATTTAGCCCAAATTTCTCGAGGCCAAAAGAAACGTCTCTCCTCGACGTCTTCCCGGAAATCACGGATGATATTGGTCTTTTGGAGGAGAAGACCCATGGAGTTTGCTAGCTCAAGTTGATCGCAGAGGAAAGACGCTTCCTTGCCTGAGGCTGACCAAATGCGAGTAAGGCCTTCACCCACGAGGCCTGCGACGTAATGACAATAGAGGTCGTAGTCCGCAATAGTCTCAAGGTAAACAGTGCCGTTGGTTGCGGCCTTGTGTGCATAATCTGCCATACCATTCTCCATTTTCTGACAAATATCAAGAATGACAGTCTTGTATCTGCGGTAGGTGTTAGATAGGAGAGCGCGACTAAAGATATGGACGTACTGGGGTGCTAGTCTGTTGACTTCTTCTACGATAATGTGGTATTCGAGGAGCAGATGTCGATCTTTCTCATCAGGACCGTTCTCTGTAAAGTTCCAGCCAGGCGTTACTGTCAACTCGTGGAATTGGCGGAGTATTGGCTGCTTCTTCTCGTCGGGGATAGTCATGTCATCTTCAATTGTATCCAGGCCGCGCATGATGAGGTAGTACATGCAGATCTGGAGAGTCAAGGGTCATTCAAGTGGATAGGTTGGAAGGAATGATTAGTCGATTAAAACTGAACAAAAAACATGGGGAGAGACCCAAGCAAAGAAGAAACACAAAAGAGGCAAAGTGCTTACCGTTCTTGCAAGGTCGCCCTCAAGCTCCTTGATGACAGCTGCAAAACTTCTGCTTGTCAGGTCAAGAAATTCCCAGCAGCGGCGCATAGAGGTGCGATCCCAGCCTGACGTGGGGTGCTCTTGTTGAGCCGTGATGTCGCGTTTCGCCTCATGGTAAAGGTAGAATTGGACAAGAGTTCTGAACTCAAGAGGGTGTGTCAAGAGGAGACCTAGCATTGAGGTTAATTTTCCCATAGTTGCAGATGTCGGTAAAAGTTCGTTTGGAAGTAGTGGTGTCGAATAGAAAGAGAGCACTTGCCAGCTGTCGCTTCCCCACCTGATGTGAACGCGGTTGAACCACAAAAACGTCGCCTGGCGCTAATGAAATGAATTGCCCGCACGGAAGTTTCCGGGCCGTGGGGTAAAGCCAACATGGCCGCGCTTGTACTTGCTCATAATCTTCACTACTTATTAGCAAGTCTAGTAGCATTGCATCTATAGAAACCAGCCCATTGAAACCTCTACGTTTCTCAAACTCTATCAATGCAAAGTGGGAGAGATGATTGGCGAAAGGACTGCAAGAAATGAATATGATACGTTCGCATGGGAACGTCTTACCTAGCTAGTACTAGTACTGTTTTCTAAGGATCATCATCAACAACATATAGCCTAAAATATATCACCAGCGTTCATCGGACTCCAGCCAACAAGTTATAGATCATGGACGATATAGCCCACCCTCCAGCTCGTCTGCAAGCCGCTTCATCAGTCCCAATCTCTTCCAGACACGCTCTTTCTCGCGTCAATAATTTTCTCGACGATTTTCAAGCTCGTAGTACACCATCCAAGGGTAGTGATACTTCAATCACTGCCCAACTACAGAAGCTGAGTAAAGCGCTTGAACAGGAGTGCATCCGACAATCAAAATGATCTTATGCCGAGGTGAGCTGATATTACCCATGGTATATGGTAACGCGGACAAAGCCACTGACCCATACATAGATTTGGGACCAGTGTATGGGAAACAGTCGAAAAGTGCCAACCTTAGCCTCACGTAGACTAGAAGGAAATGTTTGAAGCACACAGCGAGGCCATAGATCAAATTCAGTTTTTCATGCGTATAGCATGCATTCACGTCCCGCGCACGTCCGACGTACCAAGGCCCAGTGATGCTCACATCAAGACCGCAAATACCAGTGATAAATCTGTGAGATTCGACCTATACCTGACCATCGAACTAAAGCCCCCCTTTGTTACTGTCACGGGCTCCCTTCTTGGCATAAACTATAGTACATCGGCCCTTGACATTCGCCAGCAAGAACTCACCGGTCCACTGATGAAGATGCACCAGGGTAGAACGACATGGCCCTCCTTGATATTTGTAAGTGTTCTCATTGTTTCGCGCTTATCAATCGGTAGCACCTGTTGTGCAAAGAACAATGAATGCATCACACTAATGACTTTTGTTTATCTTTCTCGGTATTCTTAGATGCTATGATAAAAAATAAACGCAAGCAGTATTTCTTGCAGTCTACTCGTTTCGTGTCTACAACGATATCTCAATCTATAGATTTCAAGCCTAATCATGGTTCTTTACCTTTGTCATGCTATGCTTGACTCTGAGGCAACCCAACTTCTCCCGAATCACCCCAAGTTCATCTGGAGAGCTCACGGTTCGTCGCATTATGCTTGTGCACGTCATATAATGAGACTCCTTCTAGAGTGCTCCCCGTAGTGTCAAGGTGTGTCAGTCTTTCTAGCCAAATAGGACTGTAGCCGATTTACCCACATTAGCCCCGGGTTAGTGTACTGCGACATGTACGTCATCTTCGTCCGCGCATCCGAGTCATGATCAGTATCAGCGCCTGGACATGAAGCGCAACTCCCCTTCAATCTAGCACTGCAGCCTATGCATTTGGTATACATCACAACATGTGCTTGAGTAATGCCCGCTGATCGTGCTTAGTTATGCTTTTTCAAGCTTCGACTGATCAAATTTCCTGTAGGTGGTACGGTGCGGGCGGTTCTATCCAAGTAGCGATGTCTAGAATGGTGACTGCCAAAGTCAATATGAACGCGAGCAGTACTCATACATTCTTGGAGGTATGTACGTGCCAATGCACGTGAGACTGGGCTGTCGAATCTTCTATAGATTGTCAAAGCTCGCTTCGGTGTCGTAGCTCATATCGTATTTACCACTTGTGCGTTCTTGTTGTACGCGGATCTCTCTTGGGTGAGTTTGCCGCGTGTTGAGATGGTTACTGACGCGTGTTTCAGTGGGAGGTGCCGCTGCTGTAAACGCCTCACTGGCATGAATATACTTGCTGCATATGTTCTATTGCCAATCGGCATCGTGGTCTATGTCGTTTTCGGTGGATTGCGTGCTACTTTTATGTATGATTGAACATAAGCCGTCACTTCATTTACACCTTCATCTTCCACACATAGTAGGTGAAGCCCTTATGTCACAGGGATGTGGTACTGAGAATCTGCGCAAATAAAGTGGGTCATCGCCGGAGATTGCCAGTTTGGCTCGAATGTATGACTTGCTCACACAAGCTGTAATTGATGTGCCTGTTCCCCAGGGGCCAGCATGCAAATGGAAATTATATGGTCATGAAGTCAAATCAGGTGGATGGCATTGGCTGATTTACTTTGTCACATCTACCTGTGTTCATTCCTCTCAGGGTATTGTCTTCGAGGCGCAATTCGCCGCCGTGTTTTGTGATCAAGATGTTATAGATTTACCTCGTGTTTATTCTTCTGGCATAGCGCGCAGGCTACTGGCAAAGGGTAAATAATATATATTTGCACTGCAATCATGAACTAATGCATTCATCAACCTCAAGGCAATCGCAAGTCACCCTCAAAGGAATAACTAAAGTTTATGTATTTACATCCCTTCATCCGCCGAATGATGCAACGCTCACACAATGTCACAGATGCCCCTTGGTGGTCTCTCCTAGTTTACCGTTCCTTGGGCTTTCGGATCATGCCTCGGTTTGAACGCCCGGGCGCTTCAAAGCAATGTAAGGTTTCGTACGCCGCCTTCTCAACGCCAAGTTTACGTACGTTACTTGAGCCTTCGTTTCCGACTACCCATTCTTCTGTCAGACAAGTGCAAGACTCGCCACACCGGCTGCGGCTGTAGTGCTGATGGGGAAAGGTGGAGCTGTGGCGCTATTGTTGGTGGTTTTGTGAGTCGCATACAAAAAACCTAAAAACCTCGATGTTAACGTTAATCATATGTGTTTTCTGCAGTATGACCGTGACGTTTGTGATTAGCACCGAGCTAATTGCGGTATTGAGTATTGGGCAGGTTTGGTCCATGCACAAACTTCTGCGCACACACTCAAGGCTCGATGTGAGGTCGTACGAGTAAGACCTGAATGCCATTACATTCAATAGCCATTGTCATGACTCATTTAAATGTAGCATCCACCGTACCTACCGGCATTCGCAGGCGACAGGTGCGGTGATTGTTCATGTATCACACTACGCGATTTATGGATGGGTAATATGGATGGGGTGCTGGGCGACCATAGTAAATACTTTTTTCAGTCACTCACGGGAAATGTATTGACTTGCGTCATAGCTCCACCAAGCGAACAAACGTCGACCCGGTTTGGGTGAGAACATTCCCCACTATGTTCAGTGCGTGGACCGATGTGACAAAATCACTCAACACGCTTACTCTTCGTGGGGTGGCGCAGGTGAATAGTCCTGCAGTTATCCCTATCATCCTCAGGGTATGGCGGTCGAGCCCGCCGGGCTTTCGTATGGCTAGGCTATTCTCGGGCTAATCCTCGGGATGCTGGCATGAATGATCGGCTGCTGGAAGATGAATGGAGAGCATTTTTCGGTTCCGTCTGCGAAGATCATCGTCACAAACTCACAGTGACTATGTTGCAGGCATCATCACCATAGCTAACCGTGCATTGCCAATATCCGCTGTATGCATGCAGTGGTCTTACGTGTTTTGTGTTCTCGGGGCTCATTACCGTCTTTGTGTCTCTGTTGAGTAAGTGGTCAGTCGCAACGCGCCTGCATGCAAGTACTGATGGTCGTGTCAGAACCTGATGATATTCCTGATAATTAAGATTTCGAACGGACTCGGGAATGCTAGACAATTAGGAAAATAACGACCCCGATCCGGATGTGGCATCTGCTGAGAAGCACGAACAAATGCCGTCAAATTCCGAGGTACATACTCATCAGCAATATCTCACTGTCATCCTTATTGGTTAGTTCCACCGCTTGCCCCTGCCATGTAGACTCTCGTCTAGACGCTGCTTACGCCGCCAGTCCCGTTGGCCATGTTTTCACGAATTACGTTACACATTTTGGGTGATATGCTCCATGTGAGTATCAGTCAAACCAGATGCGCGAACTTCAGCTGATAATGACGGTGAAGCGTGTGGGTTTTCATGAGTGGGGGACCTTCATTCTTTCTTCTTGGAGTCACGGAAGGAGATCTTGAAGAGCCTTCAAGTAACAAGTTGGAGCGCTTGCATCTACGAAATTGTACATAAAATCATGATCAAATTCGTGGGCAATCAATCAATTAATTGGCCCTGTATCGTTGCGTAGTGGAATACTACCCTGAATGCCGAGCCTGGGCCATTGCGGTGACTGGAGACATCATTTTTGCCGCATGTCCTTGACAGTTCAAGCATGTTCAAATCCGCCGACTCAGACCCCCACTGTGCGCTAGCATTACAACATCAAGCCGGACGGGCCGACTCGGAAAGGGTAGAAACTAGAAAGGGAATCACTGTAGTAAGCAGCAAATGTCAATGGCATATCCTGTGGAAATCCCAAAGCTAATTAGTAATAGCTGATCAGCACAGTCAACGTCGGCGGCCAGCGACTCGAACTTAAAGTAAGTAAAGTTTCACGGTTTTAGTACATAGTTTAACCTGCAGCAAGCCGACTGGATCGGATAATTAGAAATTAAAAACATGAGGTTCTTCGGCTGCAAGCTCCAAGTCTAGCGCGCGCACTTATGTCATGTCACTAATCGTCCGACAGGGTCAGGGCCCGTGACCAGGCTGGGTTTGTCTGACTCGGGTCTATTCACGAACACATATATCTTCACCGATAATTACTTGATAGTTGCTCTGCCCGTTCAACTTTACAGTGAGGCAGTCTCGGACTTTTGCCACTTTTCTATCCTTCCTTTCTCAACTTTAGTCGCTCCTTTGCTGACGTTACCAGTGCATGCTTGCGCAAGTAATGTTGCCTTCCGTCCTCGATCCTGTTGCACGCAACATTGCTATACTGACAAGTGCGTTCCGATCGCTGTCTGGACATTCTTTCAGTTTGATTTAGACTCATCAGCGACATTGACTGCGTTCATGGTCCTCGAGTACTTTTGGTTTATAAAAGAAGAAATCCGGCTAGTCTGGCCGTGAGTATTTGTTTGCAAATTGATAAACGATGTCGACGAGCATTTTTCCGGCGAACAGGCGATTTTTGAAGACCACAGAAGCCAAAGTATACGTGGTGATCAGATATGCTGGTTTAGCTGGATCAAGGTAGGCAATTCGGCAACTCAAGATCGCATGTTCACCCCTGTCGCTAGCTTCAACATCTGGTTTGCATTTAGAATGCTCTCGGGAGTTCCCAATGGTCCGTTCGCTTGCAGAGCATGGTACTGGTACCAGACCACGATGACCCAGTGTCTGGTGTTTTCTGTGGAGTCATTACTCATGCTGCGGGGTACGTGGCTTTCGGTCTTACTCTAGGTGACTGCTTATTCCCCCTCATTGCAGTGAACAAGATGTATGGAAAAGGGAAATCTATCCGTGCACTCTTGATCATCTTCGGTGGCGCACAGTTTGCTGCCATGGCAGCCAATGCTCGAGTGGTTGTAATTGGCACTCGCTATTCCCCCAGTTGTGTCATAATCTCGCCTTATCACAGTAGGATCTATGTCGGGTGAGAATTTTCGCACCCCTTGTATATCTGATCGCCGAGTTGAGAACCAGCGTCTCAATCATTGTAACTTTCATGTTCATCCTTTCTACAATGCTATGGAGATTCTTTGGAAACTCATCCGGCTGGTCAGAAGCTCTTCGTGCTTGGCTCAAGCTTGCAGTCCGCGACGGTAGCTGCACGACCATTGCGATATTGGGTAGGTTTAGTGTACTTATTTGTTCGTATGCTCATCATTCCAGTGATCTTCATCTTCATGTTTCTCTGCAACACGCACGTTATCGACACACAAATGAGTGGAAACATCATTTTTTAGTAAGTCTTGCATGTACCGCAGGTTTCTTTCCTCACTGAATTTCATTAGCGTACTGTTATCTTGTCTTTGGTTTGCTGTTGAGTGCAAGATCTTAAGCGGTCGTTCTCTTCCTCATTCTCTTTCTCAGGCTGGACGCATTGTTTTGCATCAGGCCAAATTCCATGAAATTCAAGAATCCCAGAAGGGTGACATTAATGATCAAAGTCGGTGGACTCTGACGATCGAGGTGGACCCTGATGACATTAGACCTTTTGATGATCCGGATGCATGTCCAACGGGTCCCTCCGGCTTGGGGGTCAAGTCGACTGAAGTGTCCTCTATGCCAAATGCAGGAGTGAGGGATATCGCTGACAAACACCTTTGCGGGGAGGACAATATGCAGCTGTCGAGTTGCGCACCTACATTCATACCGATCGAAGAATGCATCAGTGGTGGGGTTTCGGGCTTTAGGAAGTGAAGCAAATCCATTCGTTTAATAAGATGATCACAAGTTCCGTAGTACATATAGTTTACATATCACTAATGGTTTCACATTGCCAGGCATATCGTGCCACCCTTGATGAGATTACTGTTAGAGTCACCCAAGTTCCGGAACGCAACTTGCATGACATATACAGTTGATACTTTCCAGTACTAATGATTTGGTGAAACTTTCGGGTCACCGAGTGCTTGTGTTGTTTTTATGAGGGCAGTGATGATCCGAAGTGAAGATAACCCGGAAGTTGGCTGGGAGTTCCGCGATTTGTTTAACACCTAGTTTTTCCGCAAGAATTTGGAGAAGGCGGAACTAAGTCCGCTCTGGTCTAGTACGTCTATCACGATGACGATATGATTAACCCTGAGAGCTTTCCCAGTGATTCCATGAGAAGCTTGTCCCGCTGTGTGATCCTGAGCCAACTCGCATCTTTGACTGCCGCTCACCTCATCTCCAAATCACGGTCGTGCGCGATGGTAGAAAAAATCCTTTCTTGACGACGGTCTGCATCTCGTGCCTGATCAAAGCGGTAGCATGAACCGAGCCATCCCAGATCGTTGAACCAGTCAGTAATCGTGTAGGCAATGGTTGACCTGTCCTTGCTTGGAGGCCAGATAGCCAGGACACACACTGAACATCATTCCGGTGCTGTTGATCCAGCCTGTGATCTCGGAGATGATTTCCGTGCGCATCCCTGGTAGACATTGTTTCCTGGTATCTCGTCCTGCGCCATCCGCACACGCCATACCGCTGAGATCTAGTGTTTTGCCTGGAGATGTATGAATAGATGTCGAATGAGAAGCGCGTACAAGCCCTTGCCTGTAGGATGGATATAGATGGCTACATCGTGAGTAACTTGTTTCTGAAAGTTGTCTATGAGCTTATGAACATTCCGCCGTACCCTCGAATTGCACCATCTACTTTCTAGCTTGTATTCTTTCCGGCTTTACTCCGGCTGAAAATAGAGACTGTGAAAAGTACGGTATCTTGTTAAAGACTCACAAAAGCACTTGATCTATAATCTCTAACAAAATGAGCACATTCAAGGATCTGCTGAGAAATCTGACCTGTGCATCAACGAAATTTACTGAAGCCATCTTGTCTTCTGTAATGAAGCTATAAACATCACTCAATTTCTGGAGAAGGTCGAGTATCGCTGTCCACTTCAGCAAGAATTATCTGCACACATAACAACTAAGAAGGATATGCGATCGAGAGCAAAACCAAACACACTTTTGCAGCCCAGGACAACGCGCTCAGTGCCAACTTTGCGTATGAATATAACTGTGAACTGGATTTGTTCGGTTCCTATCAAGAAATATGGTCCATACCTCCGCGAGCGTCCCGATAACACTATGTGATATCCTGATGGGTTAAAGATATGTGTCCTGAAAATTAGATGCAGCCTCCAGATCTGCTGGTGCACTCTTGGCGGTGAATTCTCCCTGAGATGTCACATGTACCGAAAGTGGCTTCATGAGCTTTACAGGCTCTTCGGCGTCCTGAAGTGCTGATTGGGGATTGGCACTTTGTGCTATGCGAGAGGGAGTATCCTAAACCTGTACCACCATCATAATACATATATTAGGGAGAGAAAGCAGAAAGTAAAGAGTGACTGACCTCGATATTCGCGATTGATGAGGCCCCTTCATGAGGGTCCGTGACGACCGCGGGAACCCTTCGAGTGCTTTCGTACATGTCAAAGTTTACCTTGACCCTGGGTCGGAGTCCGAAGAGAAGCGCGGGGTTTGATGATCATCGTGACTTGCAGGCGATAAAATGTCACACGCAGTCCTGATTTCCAGCACAGAAGTCATCGCACAAATGATGCTCTTGAATAAAGAGTGGAGTATTTCCAGTGTCCACATTGTTATCTGACACCGAGAGGAGTTAATATCTACATATAAAACAAAATACAACGCAACCATCATGAGATGGTGAATATGAAAAGACTGTGTACACTTCAGATCAGTAGATAACATCGAGAGCGATAAGACCCAGTTAAACGTTACACCGAGAATCCGAGAATAGTCAATGTAGTACACAAAGAACATTTCCAGAGAAGGTATAGTTCCGGGTGTAGTATGTTTGGGTCCTGCATATTTTCCACGTATCGTTATTTTTTACGTTTAAGAGCTACGAAGAGGCGTCAGGATTCAGCAGGTCACAGGAAGATCGATCAGATGCTTACCGCCTTCTTTCGTAGACGAAGTTGCCTTCCTCTTCGTGCCCCCCTTGGTTTCCGGCGACGATTTAATGCCCTTTTTTCCGGACGATTTGGAGTCGTGACCTGAAAGGGCACCCAGCTCACCGACGCATTTAGGACAAAACCATTCACCTTCTGGAATGGCCTCCAGAGGAGGATCAAGGCAGCCCAAGTGATATGGATGGTCGCACTATTGATCCAACCTCGTAAACACTGTCATCGAAAGTTAAGATGGCTATAACCAACCTTGTCACATTCCAAAGCAGGATCGTCGTCCCCGTTATCCTTGTCGCAGACTACACAGAGTTCAGGGGCGTCAACCTCAAGGGGATGACGTGGAAGATCAGAGAATTTAGCATTTGGTTTTGCCAAAAACAAGGTGGTGTGTTGACCGGCTGCCACGCTGGACGGGGTCATATAAACACTGTACCAACATGCGAGCAGAGAATGCTTCACCTTATAACCTCAATCCCAGCTAGAGGCTGGTGGGAAGTGGGTTTTGTAGCGCTTTTCGGTTCATCGGGTCCTAGGCCGAGTTCACCTTGCAGTCCTCATTCAGGCTAAATCAGTCATGCAGATTCTTCTTTTACTTACCGTAGGACGCATTTTGCCCCCAAGCAACTGTCATGACACCACCGTCGTCATCAGTCGTGAGAGCAAAATGGGTCACTCCACCGCAACTGCCACCAGATATTTTGCAACCCCTGATGAAAAGTACCATATTCATAAATCAACAAGCAAAGCAAGAAGCAGAAATCTTACATTAGATCTTGGATAAACCTAAATGAGGAGTATGGTGAGCCAGAGGATCCTACCCAAGTTAGCTAAGTGAAGGTATAAATGAACCGAGCTGACAGTTAATGCACACCTTCGCCGCTATTCTTCCACTGCAAAAGGATCAGAAATAACACACGACCATCTGACATTTACGGACCTTTCCGGCCATCCAATACAATTGTTGCTTGTCCAGAACCACGGTATTCGAAGGGCCGGCGATGATATGAGCGCCCATTGTTATTTCTTTCGGTCCGGCAAACTAAGTTAAGCTATTTCAACGCTAGCTCACGAGGGACGACAGAAGCAACACGTACATTTGGAACTACTTTAGGGATGAGGACGTCCTGTTGGTTGCCCAGACCAAGCCGACAGTAGCCGTTATAACCCCACACGTACACGAGGCTAATAGCACTTGAGTGACGTATGGCTGAGTTTCGATGGTACCTACCCTTTGGAATCAAGGGCTACACTGTGCTGCGGCCCGCACGCGATGTCTATGATAGTCTTATCGTCGAGTCCTTTCACGGGTACTTTATCAACAGATCAGTTGGTGATGTTGCAAAACGAGTGTCGAAGCTCACCAGGCTCCGTCTCAATGTCAAACGCTGTCTTGTTTCCGGTAATGATGTGTTCTCCCGTCCTACCATTTCCTAATTGTCCCTTCTCGCCACTGCCAAAAGAAAAGACTAAGGGACGTCAGCTAGCAGAGGAACGGAATACGTTAAGGGGTACGTACCTTTGCCATCATCGGTAAGTATAATGGAAAATGTTATGCCCACTGCTGCCTTGACGACGTGCAGTCTTTCACCGTCGAGAAAAGGCCCTTCAATGGCTTCGAAAGTGGGTACCTGCGCAGTGACTGGATGTCCGCACTGACATACCCCAGCCGGTCAACCTATACAACAAAAATCGCGAACTAAAAACACGACTCACCTGACCCAAATTATTGGCACCCGCAGACCAGACCTGTCCATCGTCGCCTACTAACAAGGAATGACTACGTCCACATGCCGCTTGCACGAATCTAGTGCCTTCTTCTGCACCCAAGTCCGTCGGAAGCACGCGTCGCGGAGTGTCTTCAGATATAGATATCGCGTCCTCTCCTGACACGCCAAGCGCAGAAGATGCATTCCGCCCAAACATCCACGCTGCGCCATCCACGTCGAGAAGAATAAAGTGACACCCGCAACATGACGCGTGTATGGAAGCAATTTTGATATTGCTGAGAGAACGGAGGATATGGGGCTCGAGGAGGTCTGGTCTGGAATATGGAAAACTGGGTTTGAGTTGATGTAGCTATGCTGGCTAGGGAACGACGCACGCATCAGGATTGCCTTCACCTTTTCCACCACGTTCTTTCCTCCCCAGTTTCGGCCTGTGAAAAGCGCACAACATCCATTCATAAATACCCGGAGCTCAAATGACTAGTTCGTCGTTCTGGACTCGCTCACCAGTCCGTCCCACCGCAAATTAGTACTGTGCGCAAAAGTTCAACTTCTATTCAGAGAAGTACAACGTAGCATTTACCTCTTCCCCAGTTTGGGTCTTGTGTATCTGCAGATGTGGATGTTTTAGCCATAATTCTTGGAGGTTGGTTGCTGTGAAGAATTATGCTCAGCAGGCGCCAGCCTGTCCAAGTGTTTGGGAGATTTGATTGCTGCTTTCGGATTTGCTCTAGCGCTCTAACTACGATGCACGACGAAGGACCCCCTCCCTCATAAAAACGACTCGAGAACAAGAGACTATCGCATAATGACAATATTTAATATTGGTTAACCTCAGATCTGAAACTTCCAAGACAACCACCGACCGATCCGTGCCGATCACTCATAAGACCCAATGAGAACTAGCCAAGCCATGTCATTTAAGTTAGAAACCAAAGCTTCCAACTCAAAATACTCACGAATCGTAGTTCCGCTGCGCTTGATTTGGTACTAACGTACTCAGATCAGCCGCAGTACATTAAACCCGGTCGCGTGATGCCCTTACCTCAAAGTCATCTCCCTCGAGAATGATCGCATCGCCATGAACTAGGGTCATGGAAAGTTCCAAGGGCGCTGGCTTGCTCTTTTTGCCACCAGTAATACCCTTCCCCTTTCCGGCTGCCTTGGCATCACCTACATTACCTGACGGTCCAGATGCCTCCCCCAAAGCAAGGCTCGCTGAGTCAGGTTGATTCGTGACGTCAGGGTCACCACCAGTTTGGCGGCAGTCGTCTGGCACAATTACTGCTGCCGACGCAAGAGTTTCCGAACAGCCATCATCCGCCAGCTGTGACGCACTTAAGATCCGCTCCCTATCAATCTCCATGCAGTCTTCCGCACTTTCAATGGGGATCTCCGTAAAACCACGTTTGGGTACTAGATTCATGACGACTTCGGCACCTAGACAAATGATGATGACAACGTGGCTCTTCGCGTGAAAAACGGCACCCTAATCGCTTTTGAGGGGAAAAAAACAGTATCGAGTGTCCTTTCTGGCTTACCCGTTTCGAGCCCGGAGTGACCCATGCTTGAATCATGATATGGTTAATGTTGGCATCGTCGACTTCGCCATACGCTTGCATATAGTGAAGCAAGATATCCTGGATGTCGAAGACAAGTCTAGATATTTCAGGTTGTCCGGCTGGATCCCCGGAGCAGATATTTCCGTGATCAAGTTTCGTAGACCAGGTAAAATAAGGGCCTGAGACCAAAAATTCGCACGTTTTAGAAGCCAAGCAACAAGGATACATACTATGTAGGTCACTGCGGGAAAGGATAACATCTTTCTGTATGTCGAGGAGTAGTTTTGTTGCATCCTGTTGCAACATCTCTTGGTTACCGGTGAAGACATGTTGTACTCTCACACCACTGTTGACTTGATACGTCAAATTCCGCATCGTGTCGTCCCACGAGGAATCAATTTGCCAACTGACGAAGGTGCACAATCAAGAGGATCCCGTATGGGCAAACGATGGTGTGGTCCTCGAAGTGCTTGTAGCGGATCAATGTGGCAAATCAGGGCATCAGCATTGGTCGTCGCTTTTCCCCGCTCCAGTTTACGCTGCCACCACAATCAGTAAGGTTCGACAACGCTAGTTGCAGGAAACAATCACTTTGCACGTGGAACTCTGGCAGATCTGGTGTCGAAAATACCTCTGCGCATTAAGCATCCCGCAGTCTCTGCAGTACCAGCCTCTTGGAAAACACTCGCTAGGTTTGAAGCTCGCTAGGAGGTCCAAAGGCAGAAAGCTGAAATAGAGGGTGTTCATGTCTCTGGATGATTTCACTGAGCCAGCCTCCTTTTCGACAGGATCAATCCACCATGGGTGCGACTTCTCATTGATATTTTCCAACAACCCTTCCTCACCTCCTGGTGCCCATTCCAAGGTAAGGCGCCATCGTACGCGTTCGCACTGCTGAGCCTTAGGAATAGCTACGACTGTGTTGTTTATATCTACCTGCAGGAAGATCAACAAATGTGACCAGTAAAACGAGCAAAAAACTGACGTTCAGGTCAGATATGACAAATAAACCCAAGCAACAGCATGCGTACTCGGGAGCCAGTTGCAGTGGTAAGAGCCCGCTTTCTCGAGATACGAAAACAAGTAAGGGAGTTTGGTCCATGCGACACTGATCTAAGGTTTCAATCTCAGATGGCCTTTGTTCAGGTACTCGGGGTTGGATTCGAGGAGCCGAAGAAGACACCATTGGTGTATCGGGTTCTGGAACCAGAGGTGGAGACACCACCGTTGGTGATAGTGGATCTAGCACCGGCACTGGAGCTGATGTGGGTGACTGTAGCATAGCGATGGTATCGGATGGCAACACTTCTCGTAATATGAGTTACAGAACAAAAAGAATTCGAACGAGCCTACCTTCGGATCCTGCAGCCAGAGGTGTGGTGAACGATGAGAAATTGAACTGAAGAATTGGTGTATCGGATTCTGGAACCGGAGGTGGAGACACCACCGTTGGTGATAGTGGATCTAGCACCGGCACTGGAGCTAACGTGGGTGACTGTGGCATAGCGATGGTATCGGATGGCAACACTTCTCGTAATATAAGTTACAGAACAAAAAGAATTCGAACGAGCCTACCTTCGGATCCTACAGCCAGAGGTGTGGTGAACGATGAGAAATTGAACTGAAGATGGTCGCTTTTGATAGGGGTGAAGGAGGGCACTGCATCTTTGACAGACTCGCCTTCTTCCACCTAGATCTGAAATCAGGACGCAAACTTCACAAATATAACGAATTCTAACCTGTGCTACCAAGTCACTGTTATCGGAGGGCCTCTCGTCGTGCGTTATGACATGCGAATCGCTACGTACAGGTACTTCGGGTCCATATCGATAATTCCATTCCCTATTTGACACTACTCGATCAGTGAACAAGGGGGTAAAACAGAAGGAACTCACAAAACGACTTCCAGAGTGTTTTTGTCTCTCCAGGAATGCTCGGGGTGGGGATGTTCTAGTAGCAATGCGGGCATTTCAAACTGCCGCCATGAGATACCCGTAAGAGACTTCGTGAGTTCAGGGAATATCGAAGCAATTTCTGCGCGAGACTGGGTATCCAGTTAGACTCGATTTGCGTTCATTATGCCGAGGTACTTCACATTTGCCCAGACTCGAGGCGTGTAAGGTGTGCAAGGAAGGGTATCGACTGTGGGGACAGCTGTACAGCTGTCAATAGCACACTTGATCTTTGGAGGCCTAACAAAAGTCCAAACCGGCGCTGTAGTGACCGCAGCATCTATTCGGACGCATTAATGTGCACGAATGGGAGACCCTGACAAGGTACTAACCGCTCCTGGTTTCCGGGTTGACTGTAAGTGATATATTCTGAAGAGGCTTACCATCGTCATTGTTCTTGTTCTCCTTGCATTTGGAAGTTCTTTTTGGAGCTCTTGAAGAGCTCGGATGGGTCAATTTCTGTTTCTTGGGTGACCGAGGATTTGAAGAAGTTGTTATGGCTTGGTTGGATCTTGAAGCTGATATCCTCTTGGAGGGTGGCGCCGTAGGGGTTTGGGACATTCCAGATATTGGCGGGGATATAGGGGTTGGTGCATGTTTTCTACCCTTGGCCACCTTGGGCGGGGGAAGCTTCTGATAGCCTGGTTGACTGGCATGACAAGGTCGCTCAGTCTTGGCGCACCGATCGCAGGGCAAAAGACGCGAACAAGTTTGCTTTACCGAACGACAATGGACGCAGGAATAGGGAACAACAGATACATATTCCCCGGAGGGTGTTTCACGAAGCTCGAAAATTGCGCGAGGATGAATGGCTTCGTGGTAGGTTGTCGGATCGGGGGGAATGATCGGTCGACGAACTGATGGATGCCAGGCTCGTACGAAATCTGGCACATCGTGATCTGCTTCCATATCGACGTCCGACATCTTCGAGCATGAAGAGAGTTAGGGCTGGTCAGGAAGTAGTAACTAGTATACAGTACTTACTTCAAAGTTGGTACTCTGGAAGTGGCAAGTCGATAAGGCGTTTAAACTTTATCCAGGTCATAACTCCGCGAATCACGAAACCAACGTGTCATTGTTGTTTGTGACGTTCACCCTGAGGCTCGGAGTCGCAATGGGCAAGAAACCAAATCTCACCGGTTTATCTCGTTTCCTGCCACAAGACTTTCTTAATTCAAACGCTACTAGCCTCTCAGAAAAACCACAAAATCAGAGCAGATCTGCAAAGAAATGCAAAACGGAAACCCATGTTCCTGTTCGCACAAAATATGATGCCACCGCCCTTGTTCCTCACTACACCACCACTCACGAGGTTCCAGAAAATCTTCAGAAATGTCAGTCATGCCGCGACTTAATATTTCAAAGGCCCTTTGATTCAATCCCAGCTGCTATCTCTCAGATTTCTCGCAACGAAAACGTTACTTTTCTTTATACGACCAAGGATGTTTATTGGATGAAGAAGGCTGGTATAGCGTGACACCTGAAAACATTGCCGTACAAATTGCAGATCGCTGTCGATGCGATACAATCCTCGATCCTTTCTGTGGTGTCGGAGGAAATGCGATCGCTTTTGCAAAAACCTGCGAGCATGGTGAGAGGCCCGTTCTATCGCTCACCCAATCCTGCTAATTTCATTCTCGTAAATTAGTCATTGCTCTGGACATCTCCCCAACACGGCTCGCTTTGGCTCGTCATAATGCTGCAATCTACGGTGTTGCAGACCGCATCGAGTTTATCCTTGCAGACTATATCTCATTTGCAAACGCATATCTTTCACGACCCCACTCAACGCGCAATATTGACGTTGTCTTCTTGAGTCCCCCTTGGGGTGGCCCAGGATACATCTCTACCTCTGAAAACAATGTCTCTGCCGACAGCAACGCGGACTTCCAGGACGAACTAGAGGCACACTCACAATATAGCCTCTCAAGGATACAGCCGATTCACGGAGCTGACTTATTTCGCCTGACGAAGCGGATTTCAGATAATATTGCTTACTTCCTTCCCAGAAACACGGACTTGAATGAAATATCTGCCCTGGGCCTGCTCGAAAAAGACGAAGGAGTCACCCCCGATGACAAGCCTCGAATGATTGAAGTGGAGGAAGAATGGATGGGGTCGAAGTTGAAAGCTCTGACGTGTTATTTTGGTGGTCTAGTTGCTGGGCAAGAGCATGTATTCTGACTTCACATCGCCAGGACTGGTGTAACATAAACACATCTTTTGAAATATCCTTGGCTGTGTACTCTTGTCGATGTATCAGAGTAAGTTGTGAAGTGAAGTGCATTACACTTTGAGGTCTCGATTCATTGAAGCCCACGAGCTGAAGAAATTTGCGTTCGACTGAAATGAAGCTACGCTAAGTCCAAACTATACGTATAAGCTAAAGCTTCACTGAAAATGTTATGCAAGCTCATCACGGTGCACAGGCCTGTCCACTATCACTTTTGAGGATGTATTCCTCTAGTTCCTTATCTGTCGTCTCCTCTCTGGTACCAATGAGGCTCTTCAGGGGACAATCTGACCGCGCCAAGAATGGCTTGAACTTCTCATGAGGTCATGATGATCCCTCATGGTCAACCTCAAAGTACGCTTAAACTTTCTGGGGAGGGAGAGAGCATCTAACAGGTTAGGAAATGTATCAGGGATCCCAGATGCCATTCACAACAGGTGAGATGCCACGCATTAGATGCTGATTTATTATCCTAAAAGACTTCATATTCTAGAAGCAAAAACACTATGATCTTCGAATTCCTCTGGGCCACGCTGCCACCAGGGTCCACATAAGCATCTTCCTGGTGATTCTTCCATCATCATGGACCATGGTATAGCCGCTGCTTGTGATATGACCGTCCTCCGGGTTGCTGGGCCCGACTGGCCCTGAGGACAATTTTGGCCTTGAGACAGCTGAAGTACTTCCATAACCATTCACGGCTTCCTCTGAACCTCTGCTTTGGCCTTATCTTTCGATATAACGAGCACCTAAGTTCGGACAACCATATCAATGAATGTAAGACATAGAATGATACTCATGACATCAGTCAACAGCTAATGGGACTGGTCACCTGTGCATCTCACGGCTCGCCGGCATGTCCCAAATTCGAAAATCCCATCTGCATCTACATCTCCTGCTCCTACCTTCGTGCCGTACGGGCACATAATTTACGCAGTTGTCGTGGCTAAGGAGGGGCTTTTCAATAGATCGTGCTCCATATATGACCCACCACCACATTGGAATCCTTCATGACATCGTCCATATCTCCATTTATCGATTCTATCAGACTTTTCCCAAGTGATACGTAGTTCGCGCTTGGCAACTCAAGGCAAATATGTCGAGAAGGTGTGGTTACTAGTCGAAAAATATCAACATCCATTCTCACTTAAACACCAGGTCGAGCTGACTCACGTGTACGCAAAGCCAACGCGTTTGTGATTGGCAGTCGAACACAACATAATACTTCTCCATGAACTTCTGACCAAGGATGAAATCCGAGCCTCTCCCGCTGTCAGCACCGAGATTAGTAATGACGCCGTATTGTACACCAGTCTCAATGCCCCAAATGGCGTTCTCGTTCAATGGGATCAGTTGTGCAGCTGTATCCATGCTGAACGCGCGACCGTTGATTGTGAAGTTAAGGGGTTGCATGCCTGCGACGGAGGAAGGGGGGATGACAATGAGGCCAGTGTTGTTAACGTCGAGGTAGGCTCCGGGAATGGCTTGTAAGTATCTGAAAAAGAAATCATCCGCAAGCACGACCACTGCGATAATGTGGAGTTGGGTGGTGCGAGTGATATCGAGTCAAATAATACGCACGACTTGTGCCCGCGTCGACTATGCCGGCGGTTGACCGAGGAATCACAGTGTGTGTGCCATATGTTACGTCAGTTACGTTGATACCCCAGTAGTGGGCTGCCGGGTGAATCTTGGTGACTGGAGCGTAGGTTATATTACCGGTGTACTGGCGAGTATATCAGGAATTTCAATAACGAAATATGACATCGTACGCACAAAAGCAGGATCAATGCCACCATATGTAATCGCTCCATCTGTTCGATCGACTAAATGGGTTACATACAAGTCAGATACGATAAACACATACTGGTGTCATTAGAAGTCGTTGCCGGCGCGAATGAAATACCAAAAATCCGTTGTTTGATCAGACCCTGCTTCAAAGCGTTATCCATGATGGTTGGAATCAAGGTGTCAGTGTCAGGAAACAGTGTGTCCTGCGTAAGATCAACTGGTCCAACGCCAATTATGCCGTCGACACCGTCAAAATTTGCGAATTTAAGAGCATCACCGATGGATTGATTCGCGATGACGAAGCCAGCTGCGAGAGTCACCGTGTCATTGTCTGATCGGTTAGGCCATATCAGTTTATATATAAGTACTCGGACTAAGTGCTGAGGAAGACAAACATTCGATACCACTGAAAAAGCCACTTCCATAGTTGACAGTGACATTCTGTCCAGTGGGGACACTGGTTGATGTACGAACATACTTTTTTCCCGTTCTACACGTCATCATCAGTCATTCAAGTTGTAAGGGCAATTTTCTACAAAAGCACTGACCCAACAAATGTGTTAGAACTCCCCGTGTCAACAATTAAATTGTAGTAGGTGGGGGGACAGCCGACACCGACACTCGTGGTGTACTGTATGTATACCAAGTTTGTAGCCGGAATGGTCTTTGGGCCACTGGTTGTCTTTAAGAACGACGCTCGGGCACGATCAGCGTGTGCAGAGCCTTGAAGGTACGACCCAGCACGCTCAAGCTTTGTCAATGGGATGGTGACCGAGGCCCATGACGTAGACCTGCTGGCCGTGATAATGACTGCAATCAAAAAGGCGGAGAACGATCGCATGACTATGAGGGAGGTTTCTGCCTGCTTGCATGAATGATGGGGCCGACAATCCATTTATACTAGAAGTATGTGCTCATGGGCACCGATAGGACGTGCGACGAATGCAAGCCCCATATAGGCTTTAAAGGACGTACTAAGCGACAACAATTGAATAGCAGCAATGCCATGCGAAGTTGAACCTACTGCAGCAGTACATGGGCACTGTGGCACAACAGATAATCCGGCATTGCATAGTCTCCGCTAGGGCCCATTGCCAGATATGCAGAACAGATTAAGGAAGAAAATAGTTTGAACGGCCTGCTGGATACAAACACTACAAAGCTCACAAGGTGACTGGTCTCCCCTAGCCAGGCTGTATACTAGTTCTTGATACAAGGTGTCCAAAAAGACTGGAATGGTTATGCTCTGCCAACATAGCAGATTCTTGATATGAATCGTTGCATTGCAGCGCCGGTAATTGGGAAAAAACGTACATGATTACATGAAGAACAGTGGGACATGGACCAGGCCGCAGGGATTGAAGGCTGCCAGTGCAATATACCCATGCTAAGAGAATCGATATTGGTATGATACCGTTTGCGATGTCGGAAGCGCGACGACACCTGGGCCCGCGGCGCTTTCAAGAAGCTGGAGTTCTGCCAGGTTCTGCCAACCTCCCATCGCTTGAGTAGTTCAAGCGTGATAAATTTCTTTGCGCTCCTGGCCATCATGAGAAATATGTCAAGTCGATCATGGTTCGAGACCCCAGTTGTTCACCGGCACCGGCCACCATGTGCGCAGGATCTCGTCCCCAGTTTGATGATTGAGTGAAGCATTCCGAATGAGAAATCTACAATTGTGCTTATATAAGCGCATTCTAGGCGAGATCTCGTGATCAAAGATCATCCACACGCTGCACATATTTTTTCTCTGCCAGAAACACGGTGGTACTCGCTAGGATCTGGAAGGTCCTAGCCAGCTGCGGCGTCGTTGGAATTTTCCACATGCTAGTGTCAGGAGCGAGAGTGATAGATATATTCAATGATCAAGATATGTGTCAGATGGTCCAAACTCATGTTTGTGTGAAACATGACTAGTTTACTAACGGACCGTGCTAACTAGAGTAGCAAAAATTGGTACATATGTACAATTCTATACACAAAGCAAGACTCTTCCTTCCATTCTGGTCTGAATAGGCAGACTGGTACTATATTATACACACAACAGCAGAAGTCAAAAACGTTTCGAGTAGGAAAAAAGGAGCGCGGAAAAAAAAAGCAGCTTCACACAAAGCAAGACATAGACAATGATGTAACTTTCTGTAATGGTAGTCATCGCAATGAGAATCGTGCATCGCAGGCAAGAAGTGAAACCGTCTTACATACAGCAATAGCTGTGGATTTCACAATGGTCGCTTCGGAAGCAGTTTGACAACTCTGTTCTGCTTGACGATATGCGCATCCTTCCCGAAATAGCGGGCGGACTCGAAGGACCACTGCAGCGGACCGACAATCCAGTTCTGCAGTCCTTCGACGTACTTAGCCACATCCTTGTCGAATTCTTCTCCCCACGAGGGGAGGACAGCGCGGTTTTCTTCGAACCGTTGTAGGGAGATATTGCATAGCTGAGCGCAGTAGTCAACAGCGCCTTGCAGGTCGAGACCTTGCTTGACCATGAGCACAGCAACTAAATTATGCGTGCTATGGTGAGATTGCTCCATGTTATAGGATAAAATATCCTGTTAACAGCGATGTCAGTAGTGCCCCAACTTCGACGACAGAATGAGGTATTACATTTGACCAAGAAACGAAGTCATTGGCAGCCTCCTCCAGCGCCATGATGACTGGATGCGAGACTACTTCGTCGGGAAGATCAATCTGACAGACGAATTCGATAAGGGCAAAGCAAGCCTTGCAGCCGCTCAAGTCGCGCCTCAATTCGATGTAAGATTCAACATCATCGATATGTCCCTTGACGCGGTTCTCCACCTCCTTGGCCGCAGAGATAAACCACAAGTCCATTGTATGAATAAAGCGCTCTGTGCAGCCAGGGCCGCCAGTCTCCTTAAAGCGACAGAAGTATCTTAACACCGTGATATGGTTAGAACGTGTGCGCGATAAGAAAAAATAGAATAGACATACGATTTGCACATCTTTCCACTATATCTTTCCGTCTGGAAGTTGACGGGATCGCGGTACGCAGATACGCAGCAGTCACGTACTCCCCATGCATCATTGACATCGGGTGACCTTTCGATCTCGAGCCAGTCATCCATTTTGAATGACCAGCCCAGGAAGTCCGCGCAGACTTTGAGATGGAAAGCATCCGCATCAGGGTAACAAGATGAAGCGAAATAACCTGGGCGCAATATCGTAGTATATTTGGTAACATCGGGCTCTACTAGATGGGCTTCGCTACAAAGCCATTGTGCAGAAGCGCGAGATACCTCATCACAGTGAGGGTTTAGTCGCATAGGGTAGCGGCAATCGCTAAAGAAGTCAGGTAAAATGAACTCCGTGGGCTCGGAGTCAGAAGAAGTGACGGTGCAAGTTGCGGTAGAAGCCATGGAGGTTGTCGGATTCGTGAAAGTCGAGATGGGGGAATGGAGAAATCAAACACGCAAGTTATGAGACAAAGTCTTTGGAATATGTCACTCTTTATACTGATGCCAATATTGCTGGCGGGTGTGTCGTGTTGGCTTGGACCATCGCGTTATTTTGGAAATGAGGGTCCACTGGTCAGATTGAAAGAAAGCGGGGGTGTAGACTCACCTGTTCTATGTGTCACCTACTCGAAATATAGCAAGGTTTGAATCGCGCTTCTCTAGACAGGGTGAAACATTAACGAGCCTCGCCTATTCCTGTAGCTTTGATGTCGCTAACAACAATGTGAGACTCAAATTCCATGCACTATTCCATAGGTAGGATGTACAAATGGTGAGACTTTTCTCGTTACGCAGTATCTTGTTTGTGATTGTTCCATATAAGTAGATCTCTTCTATGAATATGACAGAGCGCTTACTTCAAGCCTTTTCCTTCTGCATTCCCCTTCCGAAAGCCCGTCGTGATAGAGATAGTCAAGATGATCAAATGCCGAACACGAAGACAGCGAACTTCGTACATCTGATCATTGACGGTCATTCACCTGTATGTAAATTGGGGTCGACGGACCGATCTAAGATCTTGCGTGGGCGTCATGATTCATGATACCATATGTGGATTATCAGAAAGTCATCTACAGCGGATCTGCTGGGCGAGCCAAGATAGACAACGACTGAGTACATGTCCACTTGCGCGTTCCAGCGCAGAATGCAGATTTGTGCGTAGGTCAGTCGAGAGAGGGTAGAATTGGTTTGGTCGGTTCCGCCACAGCCCGTAGACTGCCGCGCAGTCAAAATGCTTATAGCCATCCCGCGCGTCTATCACAGTATCTGTTATAGTAACACAATGGCCATGGAACACGGAGCTGCTATAGCTGTCGCCCGGATCTGTCTTGTGCGATAACCCATCGATATCAATTTCGAGACTCCGAGGATGATCCAGGTTGCCGCGTTCTGTCGCTCAACTGATGATGCGTTTATAGTCACATCAACGTTCAAAAATACATGGTAAGAATCACATTACTCATCAGAAAAGTTCTTTGTCAAACCTCTTTAGTCGCAAGTCGGGAGAAATGGTACTAAGAACAACTTGAAAGCATTCTGAAGTAAGACATAACTTCCGAACTTTGATAGATCTTGGTGAGTGTTACGTACCGCACTAGTAACATAGCCTGTACTGGTTATGCCATTGTGTGGGCATCTAAGGTTGAGTAATGTTTGATAGTTGTTGATGCGCGTACTAAGGCCGTCGGGTGCATGCTATGTTTTTGACCACGTGACAATGACGCGTCACCGAACATATTGTATCATATAATCAACATCTTTCCTGTGATCATCCTCACATTCAATGTGCACCATATTATCTTCGTTTTCTCTTTCGATTTCATCCTTCCCATCGCACTCTTCTGATTCGATTTCCCAAACATTACACAGTTATGAGCAAGGTGCCGATTAAGAGCCTACCGGAGAGTCACTACTGAGCCGGGCGCCGTTGGTTTTGTCGTTCTATTCGAAGTTTCGAACCTGTACAATGTTTCACATCGCAAATCCCTACCATTTACTTATTATCGTTAGCGTGTTATCTCATATGTTATTTATTCCCACTCCCCCTAAAGCAATCATTACATAATTAATAGCCGTAGACGTCGCCGAAATCGCTCATGTTCGTTTGTCCACCCACCTCCAGCGTCCAGTCCGAGTTTAAGGCTCGGACATAGTCCAATACCTTCACACTAGACCTAGTTCATCCTTATCCCAACAGTCGAAGTTGGAGACTGTTGCTGCTGCTGTCGTGAGTCTGCATCGGGATCTTGATCATCCAACGACTACCTTCCGTCCGGAAGGTGGCTACACTGACTGATTGGACGTATATGCTTAATAGTTGTCATTACTATTTGCTACAGTCATCCTCTCATCGGTCACTTATTCGCACCAGATGGCACCTCCCATGGACATGGATTTTGGTGCATCAAACCAACCCTACCCCGGTTTTGGTGACCATAAAATGCAGTTCATATGATTTGTGATGTACTTCCCGATGCTCTTCCCCACGTTTGGAATATGCAACCGACATGTTCGTTGTACCGGTGGCTGTCTTCCATCATTGATTCGCTGTCCCAATCTCGTGGATTTTTGCTCACACAGACAGTGGTAGACACCACAATGTCTAACTAGTGATTTTGTACATCAAATGGCTATTTCGACGTTACATCATACTAACAGCCGTCTTCCTTTGGCACCACTGGCTACTTTTGCAATGGATCATTACACTATCCGTGTACCTGTTTACGGGTTTATTGAGTATGACTTACCTTGCTTTCTTAATATCATTTCTGCCTTGAGGATGCTTGTGCATCTTGCGACTCTTTCTGCCCAACCCAAGCCTTACCTCCACTGTCATCTCCTGCGTGACTTCCCATATACACGGGCATTTGACTTATTATCCTGCCGCTGTACACAGGTTGTGTGCTCGATCTTCACAGCTGACACTCTGAAAATGGGACATATCGTCGATTTCGCAATACGCCGCCTTCGTGTCAGTCTGGTTGTGATGCATTGAGAGCACCCATCATCTTTTTGCTCTCTGCCCGGCTATAGATCGGTCATGCGCACGTGCAACTTTACCACGAAACCTCGAGAACAAACTAGTGACCATATCTGGAGGTCTTCGCTAGAGTTACACGGCGCTTGTTTTCTGATGACGCGGGGCTTTGACCATGGTATCAAATGCGTTTTGTTATGTGGGTGCATTACCCCCACTTGCGGATATTGCGGTTGACATCAGAACTCGAGTGGGTATCTCACCCCTACCATCTGATACGGGCTACAATTCATCGATAGTATGGGTATGACTGAAACACGGTGGTCTATTCACGTCAGATATCAAACAATAACATAGACACTAGAGCAGCATTCAAAACATGGACGTGATGTCGAGAACGAGCAAAACCAGCAGCAAGAGTAGTAACGACAAAGCTTGAAATATGCAGAAACTGAAGACAGAGATACGCTGTAAAACTGGGTGGCTATGAGTGAGATGTTGGTAACAAATGCAGCAGGTAATTAATTTGGAACAGTAAATAGGTAACGGGGTTATTGATGCACGAGAGCGAGTGCGCAACCAGGCGCAATGTCCAAACAAGCGGCACTTATCGAAGCGCGTTCAGCTTTCCTTCATCTCTTCATCGATGGTGCTTCCAAAATAACACTTATGAGCAGGGCTGGAGGAGATACCAGGCGACATATTGGATGAGAAGTGCATCGCAGAATCAGGGCTGAGTAATCCGGAAGTGTTAGGACCGGATATGAAATAATTCATGAGGGGTTGGCAAGGAACAGGTATGATGAGCGCGGGAGGCGCGAGAGTACGCGTGTATTTTGCAGATGGTAATGGTGATGGTGGTGGAAGTGGAGGGAGAGGGGCAGTAGGAGGCGGAGCGAGTGGGACGGTTCGCTTGACTGCACGACGCAGGCTGCACAACATGAATATTAGAAGACATACAATTACAGGCATTGAAGCCACTCACCGCAGTGGAGGGCCTGCATTCAGACTGCCACTCCTTAATCTTCCAAAAAGACTGCTGGATTCTGAAGCGTTCTCTGCGACGCTGCCTGCACGACTCCGGGTGGGAGACATGATACCAGTGCGCTGAAGCGCGCTGCCCGCATTTCGCGTCGGGGATTTGATAAGAGCCATTGGATTCGCGCCTATATTCATGCTACTGCGACGCCTGCGCATGCGAGGACGGTCAGCATTCGCAGTGGGTATTGCAACAACATTATTTGAGTTGCCACCGGGTGTGGGCGTCACGCTCAGATCGCGATCGACGGGGTGCATGGGACTGGATGGTATTGGCATGGGCGAGGAAGGTGGTGCAGGAGTTGTTGCTCTTGGATGGTAAGGCGCGAGAAGACCAGAAGAAAAGAAAGAAGAATAGGTGACCATCGTTCAAATCGAAAAGGCGCTGCTGCAATTGAAGATGTTGGTCAAAGAACAAGTTGAACCAAACCAAATTTGAATTTCTTCTCGATAAGGATATTATACAAGGGACGTTGATTTTCATTTCGCTAGAACACTGCCACACCTCTCAGGCTAGCGAAAACCGAGTACTGAAGTGAGATCTGCATCTGCATTGCACAGGATTAATATTGAATCATCGATGCCAACAGCATAATTCACCTGTCCGACATCGCAAGCTTGCACTAGCAGCTAAGTCGTAACGTAACCTACATTTAAATGATATTATGTAAAAACGGAAAGGTTGCTCAACCTTCTTGACACCTTTGCCATACGGCAAAGTAAGGCCGACTAGCTCAGTTGGTTAGAGCGTCGTGCTAATATGGTTCATTGATAAAAGCATGGCCAGTACAACTTCACGCTCTTATCGATGGACTGCATACGCGAAGGTCTTGGGTTCGATCCCCACGTTGGCCAATCTTTTTGTAGACTCCTGTTGCCTTCAGCACCGTCTAACTTGGTTCTATGCGTCCGTGAATACTCTTTTGAACGTCACAGGGACGGCAGACCTTTAGTTGAATGTTCGACAGGCTAGTGATGATGCTGTGGGTGGGTGCCCAGTGAGGCCTAGTGAGGTTGTGGCCTGCCACTATAGGGTACAGGCTGTATTACGTCATCTGCCGCCTTCTTACTACGCTCTGCGATCCACCAACACGATTGCTCGTGTGTTAACTGGGCCAACATGTTCTTTATTGTGAGTACCTTTCTCCGAGAGATTCATCATCATTCAATCCGTCATAACCAAACTTCAATGCTCAGAAAGAGTTGACGCACACAATTCTCCTCCATCCGTCATATTTTGGCCCTCGGATGCTCCAGTTCCTCGAGTCAAAACTCTACTCAGACGTAGAGGGAACATGTTCAGGCGCATTCGGGTACATTATTGCTGTCGTCTCCATCCTGGATATCGGAAAAGGCATGGTTCTGAGCGGAAGTGGCCAGGCCGAATTTATCACCCGCTATCGTGCAATAGTCTTCAAGCCATTCAAAGGAGAAGTGGTCGATGGGTCGTGAATAACGTTAACAAGGTGCTCCATACCTTGTTATTTTTCCTCGATCCGTACTGAATAGCGCGTAGATGGGCTTCTTTGCTGACGTCGGGCCATTGACAGTTTTCGTGTCTCACCAAGTGAGTTGGAATGCTGCTCCTTCCTGCCTCGCTCAACATCTCGCACTATTCTTAGCTGATACATCCTGACATGAAATTTGATCCGACCTCAAATCCACCATCCTTTGCATCAGAGGACCAGGTATCGTCCATTTATGTATGGTTCCCCTAATGTCCCTACCTTGTCTCGAACAGATCATCGAGAAGAACACTCGTGTACGGCTAAAAATTGTGGGAACGCGCGTTGATGCTACCGAAATTGTGAGTCTTTGAATTTTAGTACGACTACAACTGTTAACACAAGGTAGTTCGCCATCGGAACGATCAAGGAAGATCATCTTGGTGTTATAGACTAGTCAAAAGATCGAATTTGGACGATCACCCTATGTATACCTGCTATCACTGTATTCGCTGTGTTATTTACTGCAAAGTACTAATGTCATCCTCTTAGTCCAATTCATGCGCTCGATTAAGTACCATTGGATGAAGCCATGATAAATAAGAACCAGAATACATAGGAAAGCGATTGGCTATGACCTACATGGACAAGTATGAACTATTAATATATAGTCGAGGCAGTCTCGTCTAAGTATGACCTGTGCCCTGCTCATTCCTCATCCTCAAAATGCAAGACCTGCGCATCCTCGTCTACAGGTACATCCCTATATCCACGCCTCGCGCGGTAGCCCATCGATACAGATTCCAGGCTTGACGCTATATATTCGAACGCGATGCCCGCAAGTCCGAGAAGGAACCATGGCACAGATGCCAGCGTAGCCATCGCACCAGACCCTGACCCATGCGAATAGTCGCCTCCGGGCAAACGGATCGTCCTGTGTATCAACAATAAGCATACAACGCACACGTGAAGTAGATTTCACTTGCCCTCTCGCCATTCCGCTCTTGCTGTACCACCACCATGCGACAAGCGCCTGTGATCGCAAAGGGGAATAAAATCACCATCATCCAGAATATCGCGCTGTGGCCATTAATACCAGGGCACAAGTGTTGCGTGCCTCGGTCTATGCGGTCGCCGCCCTCACAACTAGAGTAGTCCACCTTGCGGTACGCCGTAGGTTCATACCAGTAGTCTTCCCCATTGCGACATGAATCATCGGGCGGTCGTGCTGTCATCCCCGGTACAAGAACGCATTGGCCTTCCCCATTGTGGACATAGTTGAATTCGCTGTTTTTCGTGCCCAGATCTAAATTAGTTCTGAGCAGATGGCATTATACCCGTGACTCACCACTCAAAGTCCTCCAGCGCACATGTACAATTCTGTACAATGTTGTCTAGTGCCTTGGGTGTGTCTCCAACAACACAGTTCACATCCCGTTTGCGGCGATGGTAGAGCGTCTGTATGTGATATAGGTGACAAAGGACAACATAAGTTTGGGCGACTTACCTGTCGACCGAACAAGCAAAGTGAGTCTCTTTCTTCGCTGGGGCTCCATAGCTCAAAGTCATCGTATCCAGGGTTTTCGGCATCCACGAGGCCTGGAAGAGTGAGCTCAACATCAATCATCGGGCACAAGAGCACCAAACTCACATTTTCGGTGCGTGAGAGATGAGAAGTCTAAGTGTACGATCACCGAGCCAGCCGTCGCGGGATAACGACCCAGGAGCATAAACTTCCGGCTCGTATCCTCTGGCACCGTCATGATATCCCTCACTCTGATCTTCTCAGTCGTGAATTTGAATTCTCGCCAAGTGAGACCCTCATCTGTGGTAAACAGGACATGGTCCGTCGGTTCCTCATCGTTCACGATCACGATGATAGACCCTGAATCGCCGAACTCCCAGAGATGGGCGTCCTTGTGAACTTCTTCCCATGTGAACCCGCCATCCCGGGACAGGAAGGTATCGCTCTCAGTGTAGGCGGCGAGCGATTCACCCACATTCCCGACTGCCATCACCACGCCGACGATGGATGGGCTGCTATATGTTGCCCGGGCATCGAAGCGTTCTGTATATCCGTGAACGTGGAGTGCACAGCCCTACATACGACAAAGTAAATCAATTGACAGCGATGATCAAAAAAGCACGACATACCACTGATGTACAAGGGTACTTCACACCCAGTGAATCTACTGAAGGGGGTAGAAGCGGCTTCCAAGTGCCACCTGACACAACAAGCAACCGTCAACGAGAGGTAAACGATACCCATAAAAAGGCATACCGTCATTATGCGTAATCCTCGTCTGCAGAACCTTGTGTCCCGTGAGTGCAGCCTCCGCAGGGTTGGCTACTATGTTGATAATTGCAATGCCATCCAACCCCACGAGCTTCTCAAAGTCGACAAAGCCGCCATTGTTCCTATTCACGTTATCGATGGACAGCCCAAAGTATGTTCCATTGGAGTTAGATTTCAGGATGTTGCCCCATGGCGTTGGAAATTCGTTCATGGTCATGTGTAGGAAGATGGATTTAGTGCTTGACTCAAGGACAGTGTATGCCTAGAAAATATCATCAGCAATTCCAGCGTTTGTGAGGTTAGAGCGAGCTGCCTACGTGAGAATCTGGATGCATGCCAGGGGGGAAGTTCCCAGAAGCAAACGTACGTCCATCAAGTGAGACCTGAAGGTTGAGCGTGCCCCTCATCGGGAGGTACTGCAAGTACACAAGTAGTCAATCAACAGTGCACGTACAGAACAACCAAAAAAAACCCACCTCAGCCACGATTAAGAACTCTGAAAACTTGGTGAACCCCACGACATGGTCAAAAAGCTTCGTCTTCTTCGCATAATAGTCCGTCCCAGACACAAGTTGCAACGCATTCTCTTTCCCGAAAAATGCCTGCGAGCCCTGTTTGTCCGCATACGACTCGCATAGGATCTGAGATGAATCGATCCGCAGCTCCTCATCGCGCGCCCAGTCACAGTTGACGACATAGTCCTCCACCAACCGCCAATCCCGTCCATTGTTCCATGTGTACTGAGCCTGCGCGCGACAGTTTTGATACCCTGATTGGCAGTCCACATTACCGATCCAGATGAGATACTCGGACTTAGGCTGGAAGCGGACCACTTGGGCCCCGAAGGTGTTGGGAGGCGAAGGCGCTTCGGAAGGGTGCCAGTAGCGGCCAGTGTCTGTTGTATAGTAAAACCTCTTGGAATCGGTGATAAGGTATGCGCGGTCGTCGGTGTGTGTGTGCATATAGAACACTAGGAAACGCTCCTCTGGGAACTTTTGTTCCCATGTGTAACCCTCGTTACTAGATTGCCATATTGTGAAGTCGGCAAGACGGACAAGGACGGTCTATGGAGGCACACGTGAGCTGAGGTATTGATATGGTACGATTTACAGGACGCTCACCTTCGAGTCCTTGAAAAACTCGCTCTGTACAATATCACTAGCGAATGGATGCTACAATATCGTAAGTTTCATACTGAGAAAAAAAGCGAGAACAGAGACACACAGTCTGGTAAACAATCTCTCCTTCGACAGGTTCAGCTGTAAATGACGCATGAGACACAAATCCTCCATCATCTCTGAGGCACTCACCTCCGGAACAGTCTTTAGACATGGGCTCGTCCATGCGAGAGCCACCTTCACACTTGTTCCCAGGGATCTTGCGATATCCTGATGAACCCATGTACGTTTCGCCGGGCGTCCCAAGGGTACACTGGGTACTGGGTATGCGCTCTGGGCCCGAAGGCACACATTTATCATCACTCCGCACATAGTTATAGTCACTAGAACGCATGAGCAATTTTGATGGGCAGAGTAACCAGGAACAACATACCACTCATAATCATGTTCCTCGCATGGGCACTTATCATCATGAACTTCCGGATCATGGAACTTCTCACCCATGTAGCAATCCGCATCAGCCTTGCGCCTGGTGTACCATTGCTGCGAAGTATATTAGTAAGATCACTCTCGTGACACGGTTTACATCTCAGTAACAAACCTTGGCACCCATGATGCACTCTGATTTGGTATTGGCTCTTGCATACCATGATTCCTTGTCATTGGGACCACACTGTGGGCGCCCAAGGGCAGCGAAGTCGAGGTAGATGGCAGCGTTACGGCCTTCATTGGACTGTGGGGACTGCCTCACGACCTGGCCGAGGAGGAGGAACTTTTGAGACGTTGAATCCGATACCGTCGTCAGGCCTTAGCACGGAATTGGATCCCAACATCGTATGTGTTCCTATAGGGCGAGGCGTTTCAGTAAGATCGCATATATGCACACACAGCGAGCGGCAGAGCGGAAAGGCATACCAGGTCTGGCCCATGTCCGTGGAGTACATGATAGAGTTGGTAGGTTGCTCGTCGTCGACGACGACGATGACACTTCCAGAATCGCCAAATTCGTATTGAGATGCACCTTCGCGGACCATAGTCCATGTCAGGCCGGCGTCCTTGCTCATGTAGGTATTGCTCTCATCGTATGGCGCAAGCGCTTTTCCAACGGAACCCACGCCCATGACGAAGCCAGGAGCGGGGGACGAGAAAACGGGGCCATAGTTGTGCATGTCTGTTACTGAGTGCAAGTGCAGCGAACATGATTCGGAGGAGCAGGTACCGCTAGGAGCGACAAGGGAATCCCATGAGCTACCTGCGAAGACGTAAGGTCAGTTTAAAATCAAAAAAGAAACATCGTTCCTCACCGTCATCAAATGTGATGACCGACCGTAATTGCTTGGCTGCCATCTGCCTCTCAACATCTTGCGCATTAGCGACGACGTTGGAAATACCAACACCCTCAACGCCATATATGGTCTCGTAGTCGACATACCCCATCATGTTTCTGTTCGTGTTCATCAAGCTCTCCACAAAGTAGGTGCCGTTGGAGTTGCTGACAAACAGGGTACCGACAGTGGTTATGTCGTGCAAGACGACATCTACTGCTAGAGAGTGAACTGTAGACTCGACAATGGTGTATGCGTTCTCCCGCAAGCGAGCCTGGGAGGCATGTGGGAAATGTGCCTTGGCCCATTCTTTGGTGTTCACAGTAACATATAACAGCATGTCACCCTCGCTGCCGGGCGTCAAGTCCTTGAGCGCAACCACGGCAAACTTGGACACGATTGCAAATGCCACGACACCCTTGGCATTCTTGCCGATGCCAAGGTCTTCGTTCTGCTTGGTGGCAAAAAAGTCTGTGCTGGAGTACAGACGACTGCTTGCGATGTTGTGCGAGCCAGCCGTAGCGGAAGAGTCATAAGCGACGCAGTAGACGAGGTCCTCGTGAGCGTCATGTTTGAAATCCTTACTACTGTGAGCGAATTGGCAACGGGAGACGTCCTCTAGGAGAAGTTGTGGTGATGAGGCAAATCCATCTTTGCTGTAGTATGTCTACATAGAAATTTGGATGCAAGTAATATGTAAATATAAATAAATACGCACCACGTCTCGACATTGTTCTCCCCAGGGAATTTGGTCACATTTAGTGGCCTGGAAGAGGGTGTACTGCCACTTTTTGGGATCCGAGTGGAATGAGAGTGGTTTTTGGACATAGGCCACTAGCTCGGGGACATTGAACGTGCGCCATGACTTTCCGCGGTCGTCTGTGCGGTAATGCGTGTAGGAGTTTGTTAATACGAATGCCTATAGATAGGATTCGGTCAGATCAAAAGCCACGTCAGTGTGTTCGAGGCAGATGAAATATACTGGAAATGAGAGTATGGACGGTAACGCACCACGCGGTTGTTGAATGGGTGCTCCATAAACATTGCAGCCTCCCCAGGTGGTATGTCATCTGCGCGTTTCCAGGTCTTGCCTTCGTCTTGAGAGACATGTATATCTCCAAAGATAGCATCATGGTATATCACACTCTACAGGATAAAGTGAATTGTTATTAAGTGAACCCTGAGGTAGATATGAATGCCTCACAGTCGTATCGTCGAAAAAGAACAACCGAGTTGGTGCATTGTTGAAGTAGTTTATGGCATGTTCTGGATCAGCAGCAGACGTGTAACCAAAATAAAGAAGAAAAGCAAGTGTTGACCATATAAAAGCGGCTGTCCTGTGCCAAGGAGCCATGCAGGACGTTGTGGATGAAGAAATGTGTAGTGCACGTTGTATGTTACGTGCACAGCTCAGCAGTTCCCTTGCTCCCGCAGCCCGCGCCAAAGTGACGGCTGTCATTCACAGCCACACAACCGGCTGTACCATTTCGGGCGACTATAGTCTAGACCTCATGTTAGAAGAAGACAATTTGTTCCTTCTAATGAGGCTATAAAATCATTCATTCTTATAGGATGTGTTCTCTTATTGCATACATGTCCTAGATGAGTTCAAACAGGTATCAAAAGGGAGCTTAACCACGATCTCTTTCCAAATCTTCAGGTCCGAAACTAAACGGAAGTAATTCCTCAAGAGTACATTCTCGTACTCCATCTTCTTTCTCCAAGTAGGAAGATGCAGCCAACAGGATGGGCATGTCGAGGGGACAAAATTCGCGAATTACTTGACGACACATCCCACAAGGCGCAATTGACGAGGCAACGTCGCTAGTAGGTAATTGGTGTAAGATTTGGAGCAAGGATAATAATGACATACGTTGTGACAGCGAGCGCCACAAACTTACGATGGCCTTCACTCTGATATCGAGATATTTAGTTGCGGGTTAAGCCCCACGAACGCTACCAGATAAGGTGGACGCACTACTGCTTTCACGAATGCAGTGCGCTCTGCACAAATAGTACCACCTGTGTATGGTAGCCGCAGGACTGATGAGTAGCAAGAGCCAAGTAAAGACCGTATTCACCGTACGAGGCGTTCTCGATATTAGCACCTTTGATGATTTCGCCATCCTCAGTGAGAAGAGCTGCTCCCACACGGAATTTGGAGTAAGGCACGTATGCGAATGTTTTTGCTATCAAGATACTTATGAACAGTGCGCTTTTTCAGGTTCTGTTTTCAGGGCGATAGACTCGTACCTTCAACTGCGGCTTGGAGGAGGCGATCGCGGTTTGAAGCTACGATATCTGTCATGAATAATTCGTTGGTTGGGATGGTTCAAACCAGGGGATGGACAATCCGATAACTATCGCAGCACGCGATCCGAAGTTACGATCTAGGATGCAAGTCACTCGTCACGGAGTCACACACCCTAGTCACTAACCGCCAACTTGAAGCAGGGGTGTATCTTGGGGCCTCCACGCCTGCTGGCATATGGAAGACACTGGAGGCGTTCCAGAAGCTGATTCATACCAACGGGCACTCAGACTGGGCCATGTTAGTAAGTAACACATTCTTGAAGCACTCAGAGCGATGCGCTGGTGTGGTTCTTTTTCTAACTCATCCTGGCGTGTATCCATGCACATCGACTCATTTTCCTAGGTGTAAGCCGAGGAATTGACATTTTATGAGAAGATGCTTCCCGCGCGGAGATCGTAGGATATGGTTAAGATAGGGTGAATTTACTGCACGTACCCGCGGATTCCGGAAGCAGGTTTTAATTGGCTTTTTTTTTACAGTCACTGGTCTTCCTCCCTCAATCGATATCGGACGCGACAAGGATCACACTTCCGAACATTCAATCATATGCTCACTGGTCGCGCAGAAGGGACGCTCGTAAAATACAAGAGGAAGCGGATTCTTTGTGAATTCGAATCACGGGATCTCTAGACCACCTCGGCCGTCCTGGTTCTCGATCTCAAACCTTGGTGTTGTCACATAACACATTGCATCTTATTTATGATTACTACGTTCCAGGCCTTAGAACGCCATCCATCAGGTTCCCAAATATTGACCGATCTGCCATGCACAAGACCACAGTATCCGCGTCATCGCCATCGGACGTTCTTTCTCCATATCCAAGCATGATTGGAGGGTTCGCGTATCCTACAGGAGCAGCCCACACTGTGCGATGCTGATGAGAAAGTCACTTCACGCTGATAGTACATAACACTGTCAATGATGTCAACATGACTACGGCATGATTTACCAGTATCGAGCGTTGACAACCAACACCACCTATATCAAAACCCTACATCAGTTACCAATCGATGACTTAATGTTAATTGCAAAGCCCGTGTCGGACTGGGAGTAGGTGCGAGTCAGAAGAATCTATGTCTATTAACGATAGGTGAAGTTGTACATGAAGCATGAACATTAGAATATCTACTGATTTCATCAAAGTCGTAAAGGACATCGTTACATCTCTGCCCACAACACCGGCCCCATCACCATGCCCATAGTCCATATCTATAACATGAAAATCAGTCAACATGTGCCAAAGTGCGCATTAGATGATCTTACGACGTTCAGTGCTTTAACAAAAAGCATCGGGTATTCGTAAATTGGCGGAGCATATTTACTTCCAGCTCTGGGATGGGTGAACAACACCCAAATGGAGTAAAGCGCTATGGCAAGAGAACTACGAGCCAGTCGTAACGGAGATTGAGCAATCCTAGGGAATCCGGATCCAGGTAAGCGCGATCGTGACAAGTTATCGATATATTACTGACCCAGCTGCTAATGCCATCGGTTCCTCGGAATATTCGGGACCCTTGCCGAAAAACTTGAATGCTCCATCCTGCATAATGTCAAACGCCTCGCCTACGCACATGGACAATCATGAGCCTTCGGGCATTCGACAGTTAAGATTGGCGTACCTTCCGCTGCAAATAGGCCAGCCCAACTCATGCTCATGGTATTGATAGTGGATGCGAGCGGTTTTCTCAAATGGTGCCACTTCCGGAGGACGGCCGAGACTTCATTCCAATTTCCAAAGTCCTCGATGTCGGCCAGAAGATCAGAAAGGATGACTGCGTCATTCAAGGCGACCGTCATTCCACCCGCAGTTAGCGGGTGGCGCATGTTTAACGAATCTCCCATGAGAAAAGCGCCTGCCTTGCTAGATTCTCCTTGCTTCATCGAAGGAAGATAATAATGTGGGGCGCGTCGCAAACGCGACGTTTCCAAAGCATGGAGAATGGGCGCGCGTACCGATGCCGGAAGCTGAGGAACAACGTCGCGCAATATATGCTCCTACAATATTGATAGTAAGAGGGGGGTAATCACGATCACAAGACGGAATTACAGACCTTGAGATCTGGCGGCGGCTCCTTGAACTCAACCAGCATCCGGCACTCATTGTTGGGGAGTTCATAAAGGACGACCGGTCCAGCGCGTTTTAGGACAATCATAGTTGCACACTTGGCCACTGGCAGCGTCAAGTCTTTTACGATCAGACCTGCCAAGTAACCCATTTGCGAAGGTTCATATGGCATGTGCCCGAGAACGGCGGTTCTGAACTTGGATAAGCCGCCGTCCGCGACAACGACGAGGTCAGCGAAATATGCCTCGGGCTGACCACCCGTTTTGCAGGCGCTGACACCTATTATGCGATGAGTATCCTCGTTCTCGAGCAGAGCGGTTACTGTGGTCTCGATGAAGTCGACATTGGGCGCCCGCTGTGCGCGGTCCCGCAAGGCCATGACAAATGCGCCATGTTCAAAAGCTCGCGCTTCATGGCCTTCAGGGAATGGGGCGTAAATGCCATTATCAGCCCCTCGCATGACATAAAAACCTGACAGGGGAGCAGAGTCAAAGGCCCCAAGGCATGACTCTAGACCAAGCTGCTTGAGTGACATAACGCCACCAGGCTGGAGCAGTTCAGCGACCATACGGTCTGGCTTGGCCATAGACCGCTCGAGTACTGCTATCCGAAGAGGAGTACTACGCTTGCCATACGTCTTCGTGGCAAGGGCATGGGCAAGGGCCGGCCCAGCAATACCGGCACCAATGATGAGCACGTCGTATGATGAAGAGGGCATGGCGGGTTGAACAGCCGTGACGGGCTACACTCACCTGGTATTTATCCGAAAAAAAAGTCTAGCGCAAATTATTTCGCTTCGGCTACATGGGATGATCCAAACATATTCGCACCGGATAATGTGCAAATCTTACCTGGAAGATCGTTCGACACGAGTTGGACAGTCTAGTGCAAGCCGAATACTGTCTGAATCGATTGCAGTGTATTCGTGATAGATTTTGTGACGTACCGTTTCCATTTGTAACACGTTTTCAGAAATACGAGATCCGATCACTAAAGCCGTAATTCACTTCCGAGTTGGGTGTAAGTCATTCTCTTATCAGCGGCACATACTCGGTACTAACTCGTTTCAGAGCACATAGTTCAAGGATAAGCTCATGCACGCTATGCTCTTTCTGGTATGGCAATAACCGGTGCGCCAAAACGTATGATACGATCAGGCTGAAAATTATCCGGAGATTGTGAACTAGACCAAATTTTTGACTCACATCCCTAATAGTAAGTGGAGTGCTCCGACTAGTCTGAATTGGTGATGCCGACGCAAATTGTGTGTGAACTTGAAAGGTATGGTTGTATCGCCGTCTTTACGTGTGATCAACTTACTAGCCGCGTCAACATTTCGATTTCAACGTCCAAGCCCGATTTACACGGCTCCAGCGCCTGCCAGTACACAGGCATATCGATCATATCATACTGATTCCTGTAGATGTTCGGTTTTGCCGTCTTCAAAGCACCTCTCTTGATCTCTGTCACCATCCTTTCTTTCATTATACTCAGGGCGGTGGCGCTGCGAGCTGCAGGCGGTGTTTATGGCACGATAATGCCGGCAGGGTCACCTACCTCACGGGTAATATCGCGACCGAGAGTTGGAACCGTCATACCATACACCGACCGGTGGTTTGTGGAAAACACCAGATACATTGGCAAGACGAACGGCGTCGACAACAATCAGATAAATAGACTACTTTGACTTTTCGTCTTCCCAGCTTCGACTTCTGTTTGACTCCCTACAAAGGCTAGAGGGCTGCTTCTGTTCCAGGCTCTGAGACGGAGAAAGGCATGACATGAATTGTTGATGGTGTAAGTCGAGCCACCGGCCCTACGAGAAGACACGTTCAACCGCAGTTGAACGAGATAATAAGTACTGACTGATTCAAATAAGATTCGAGGGTAACATACCTGGGACAGACGGATATTAGACTAGCCGCATCCGATGAAACGTTGGATAAGTAAGTTGTTTTGCCGCCGCTGGTGTCCGAGTCATGGTCAAGCCTTTAACGTCACGCGCAGCCACTGTAATTTATCAACCCTCTTTCATCAATACTAATACTGCCTTATTTCGTTGCCCTGCTTGCCTTCGCTTGGATATAGTACGCATCATTCGTTACATCATGAAAA